ACTTAATTTTTTATTTAAGTATTTATGTATTAAAAAGAAAATATAAACTCCAGTCATATCTCTTATGATTTTAATTTTTTTTGCATGATATTTATTAAATTTTTTTATTAACACATCGTGAGAGTATATATTTTTTTCAATTAGTACTCTAGAGATAAATTTTTATAGGGAGTTAAAGCTGTTAATTTTGTTTAATAAAATTATAAAAATATTTTAAATGTGAATAAATAAGTAATTTTTGAATTGAAGAGAGAGATGTTAGACAGTTAAGTTGGTTAGAAGGGGCAAGTGCCAAGTGGGCAACCGACGTTTACCAGGGAGAAGGGGATGGCGGGTAAAGAGCCATCCCCCCAAAAGTAGGAAAACTGATAAAGAGGAGAATTTTGATTAAGAACCAGACAAAACTGAAACAAGATCCCACCTCGCCCGGAATCCATGTTTCAATCCTTCGAATTCCTTCCTTTGTCTTCTTCGCTGTTAATCATTTGACTTCTCGACCATGGCTGACGACGAAGAGCAAAGACTCTGTTTTCTGAACATGTGAATGTGATTCTCCTGTCAAAGGTATGTATTTATGAAGTAAACATCAATATAATGACTTTGAGCCATCTCTCTTTTCATGTAATTCATCATCATAATTCTTGTATATAGAGTGAAATCCAGCGTCTGTTTTATGTGTAATTCATGTCTGTTTTATGTTCAGTTGGGGATTTTGATTTCTTTTTTCTTTTCCCCTTGCTAATGTTGTTTGGTTGATGGGAATGGGGTATTGGAAAAAACCAGAATAAGAAAACAAAACCCAATGTTTTCGGGTTCCTTTTTTTTGGTCCTCTCGTTCCAACTTCACGTTGTTTATACTGATTTAGACCCTTTCCCCTGTTTCCCTTGTAACTGAGCAGCAAGTGAAGCTGCAAAAATTCATCTTAATTAGTTGATTTTGCCATTCATTTTATGACCAATCCAATGCTAAAGAGTTTCTTAAATGAAATAAACCATTGATTGTTACCTGATAATCTGTTTCAACTTGAATCAGGTTCAAGGACAAGCTTGTAGCTGAAGTCATTTTGTCACTCAAGTAGATTTGAAGAGGCAGTTTCTCTGAGAAATGGGGAAGCACATGCGGCACAAGAGCGCTGGCATCCCATTTCCGCATGGTCATCCAGGATGCATGTGGCGTATGCTTCAAGTACTTAACTACCAACATTGGCATTGGCGTGTTATTAAGAGAAGACTTACATATAAGAAGCATGAAGGTAGAAAACCTGATGCGGGTAAGCAGCCCTGGTTCTCATTCTAAACTCAATATTGTCCGATAAATTGCTATAGAATGGCATAATCATCTTTGATCTGGTAGCAGTGTTTATGCTCTTTGCTGGACTGTTTGAGATAGTCTAATTAATTGTATTGTTACCTTATTAAGTGAATCTAGATCAACAATAATGTCCTAGCCTAGGTCGAACCAACATGATAATTTTAGCCAGGGTTACTTTTTGCCTTCTTGGCAGAGGTTTTGAACGTAGTATCTGTTCTTCTTTCAAGGATGCTGATATAAGCTTTCTGGTTTATAGTGGCGGAAAATCCTGGGGATGATGCACAAGCCTCGACTGCTGATGATTCTTCAAAACGCAGGAAAGCTGAAGGGGCCAACTCTAAGGTGAGTTGAATCTTGAATGTAAAAGGTTTTCCTTGGCACATTTCTTGAGCTTACTTATGCCTTGAATTTGAATATCATTTCAATAGTAAACAATTGAAAAGTTTTGTTCTTCTTCTCTTTGTTTGATAAGGACTGTGATCTGCAATTGCATCTGAATCAGAAATCCACTGATTAGGATTCATCGATCTCTTGTTTTACATGCAGAAATAGGGGAATATATAGTTGTATCTAATTTGAAAATTGGCAGGTTGAAGGTAAGAACAGACAGTCCAATCCAGCAAGTAAAAGTTCAGTGAAATCTCGACTGAAGGCACTTATTACTGAAGAGATGTCTAAAAGGAAGGGCCGAGGCCGGCATCGCAGAAGTTCGACCTGCCCTGCAGGATCACAATTGACAGGAACTGGTTCAGACTTTCTTGCAGAAGCTCACACTGATGGTCCTCTCCCTGAAATAGCTCTGAATGATGAAAGCCCCAGACTGGGTGACGAGAACAAGGAGATCTCCTCTGATAGCAGTTCTGAGGATCAAGTTTTACCAAAGTCCTCGGAGGAACCAATTACCAGTGATGAAAATGGCGAAGAGTGTGGTATCATGTTTAGCGGGAACGACTCAAGCCATGAACAAGTTGATGAAAGTGAGAAACAATTAATTGAGAATGCCATTTTTTGTCATGATCTAAATGACAGAAAGCAAGCTTTCTTGAAACAGAAATCGATCTCTTCGAAAGAACTAACTAAAGATGGTTCGGCACATCAATCAAAGTATTTCACGGATGCTCGGGATATAATCAACATGAACAAAGGGTTTTTACTGACAATTTTACAGGATCCGGGCTCTCCTTTGGCTCACCATTTCCATAAGCAACAAGCTATCAGTGCAAAAATGGGAATAACCAAGTCAGGGACTTTCCCTTCACCTGGGTCATCGAGCAGAAGAGGTTTGGGACCACGGAAACAAAACCACAAGCGGGATGGACGAAAGCCGCCTGATCATGAGTCGACAGAAGATCTCTGTAGAAAGTCGATGCCATTGATAGCTGCAGACCACAGGGCAGATGGAATTCACCAACTAAACCAAGCAAATGCTGAAGTTCCCGATGTTACTTCAGGTTCATCATCCAACCATCTGAAGCAAAAATCTGATGGAAATCAAGTGGCAAAAAAGAGATTCAAGCATCTTAAACAGAAGATAAAACACGCAATCAGGGAGAGCAAGAAAGAGAGGCATAGGATTGCCATGGATGCGGTCCTTCACAAAATTCCTCACAAGAAAGGATTTTCCAAGGACTTGACAAAGGACATTGTTGATTATTTTAAGAACCCTTCACGGATTAGAGATGTTTTTTCTGAATCTTCTACCAGTAGGAGAAGAATTCAGCACGAAAGAAGAGCATCATCCTTTAATGAGTCTATGGATAGATATACGCAGTTGTATGAATCTAGTTTCAACAGAGAAGCCAGAGAACATATCTCCAAAAGGATACAAGAAAGAAGAGAAGAAGAGATGGTTTTGCCTCGTAGGAGTGCCCCAAAATCCCTGGGAAGAATTCTTTCCTCACCTGAACTACATTCTTACTTTTATCAGAGTGAGGACTCTTCTGATGCATTTTCCTCAGACATGCCAACTACTGTTGCCGATAGCACTGTAAGCATAAGCAGCTTAACTGAACAAAACAATCTAGATGTTTCGGCTGCTTTGGATTACCACTCACAATTAGGTACCCTTGGAAAAAGCGAGTCTCAAGAGTATTTGACAGGCATTAGGGAAACACTTTCAGTTTCTTCAGATAAGTTAGCATCAAACTCATGTACAAATAGTAAGACAATAGCTCAAGTGGGAAAAACTAGTGATGAGTCGGGAAACTTGATAATAGGCGACATAGTTTCTCAAAGTGATCAAGACAGTAAGCCTGAAATAGTAGTACCTATTACAAAGCTGGAAGAAGCAAGTGCTATCCCTTTGCTCAACTTAAATTTAGATGGGAAAACGGTCAGTACTCCTGCAGAAATTTCCAAATCACAAGGTATACCCTCTTAATTCTTTTTCTTACCTTACGGAACAGATCATATTCTTATAACTTGTTTGATCTTTTTAAAGTCTTTTGTGGAAGATTAGATTTCCTTATCAATTTATCTTCATGTTTTGTGGCTGAAATGAATTATGGTACCGTTAGAAGCAGACTTGGAGCTAACGCAAAGTCACGGCTTTCACACACGACTTGATATTTTAGCTGATGAGGAACATGAATTCAAGGATTCCCTTAAGGTGGCTGAGGGCAGAGCTCAATTTGAGAAAGTAGAGACTCTAAAGAAGGATTTAGACAGTGACTTTTTGAAAGATCGATTAGATACAAATGACAAAGATAAATTTAAATACGTTAGAGATTTGCTCGAACTATCAGGATTTAGTGGGAACGAAGCCCTTGGTACATGGTATGCGGATGACCAGCCAGTGGACCCTTTCCTGTATGAGGAAGTCAAGGGCGGCTGCATTTTCTGCGACCCAGATTGCTCCAGGGACGAAGTAGGCGGTTACTGTAATCACCCACTGTTGTTTGATCTAATCAACGAGGTATTGTTGGAGCTTTACGAAAGATCATACTGCTATTGTCCCAGACCTTTGTCTCCATTATGCCACATCCGTCCAATGCCATTAGGACACCATGTTCTTGAGGAAGTCTGGACAAACATAAGCTGGTACTTGAGCTTTGAAACTGGATTTGACAAACCATTGGATTATGTTGCCTGTAAGGATCTAACAAGAAGTGATGGTTGGATGAACCTACAGGCTGAGAATGAATGCTTGGGGCTTGAGCTTGAAGAGTTAATCTTTGATGATCTTTTGGATGAACTTTTCTAGAATCAATACCTCGTGCTTGATCAGGTTCAACCAATTCATTCACCAGCATTAAAAATTTTTGTTACTTGTGTAATTAATATTTGTTTTCTACCCAAACTTCCAAAGAGACAAGCCAAACAATAGGGAAATAATTCTTTGTGTAATTAATATGTGTTTCCATTTTTTTTAATTGGCAATAGCTGGCCAATAAAGAAAGGGCTACTATCAGCAATGTTAGACTGATTAATTCAAATAATAATGAAGACAAGAAGAAGAAGGAGAAGAGAGAAAGGTGGGAAGTAATGTTAATGGCTTTGAATTTTTATTTTTATTTTTATTTTTTTTGTATAATTAAGAAATTGAATACATAATGGGAGGTAATTTTCTAACCCCACAAACTCATCCCCTTCATCTTAGAATTGGAACCCAGACTTCTAAATTCAAGTCTCATTGTGATGTCCAATTGAGAATGAATAATGACTTTAAATGTTAATTTTATTAATAATTTTTTATAAATTTTTTATTTTATAATTGAATAATATGGTATCATTCAAAAGAAAATTTTATTCTTTAACCTTAATTTTATAATTAAATTTTTTTTTCCAAAATTTCGTGCTCATAATTAAAAATTTTGATGAAAATATAGGTGCCTATATATATAAAACTTGTTAAAATGAAATGGTTTGTAAATATATTTCTTGTTGGTGTTTAATTGATTAATGACAATTTAAATTTCAAAAATTTTTGCATGATAAGCAACAAATTTTCAACTATCCTTCACTTCCTGCTTCCTTTCCCAGGAAAAAACTGCTGACAAAATTTCAATCATGAACAGAATGGAACCTTAATAATGTCTGCATTCATGATTGAAGACTGCAAAGCATGGAAAAATATGTTTTAATGTTTACAATTATCAAATTCTCAATGATTAATCTTACAAATACCATCCCCATGACCAACAACAAATCCCCTAGTCGTTGGAGTTCCAAGGCTCTTAAACCTTGTGGTCGTGTGGGTTCTCCAGCCCTACGGCGGGCTCATGTTTTGTCCCCCTCCCTGCCTTTTCTTTTATCTTTCAGCCGCAAAGCAACTCAACCGAAAGGAAACCTTGTTGCCATCCAGGCAAGTAGACCAAACACGTACCAGTGAAAATTCGACAAAGTAAATTGTTTGCTGCTAGTGACAACAAATCAAATTGATTTAACACCGTCTCCATCGACCCAAACATCCTATCATTAAAGTAGACATTTGATGGCTACTTCAACAGCTTAGTGTCAGAAGAACCAGTTTTTACATGCTTATTTGTTTCAAAAAGCTTGTTTGTTTGAACTTCTTTGATCGGATTGGCAGCAAGCTGAAACCATTGCACCCTTCTGATGGCATCCACAGAAAACAGATATGGGGCTTGAAAAGATGCATGTTGGAAGCATGAGCAGGGCGTGAGGCGGAGGAAGAGAGACGCAAGTGCAAGTAAAAGTGATGGTGGTGATAGTAACCTCCATATACCGTAATCAAATAATGAAAGAAAATAGCTTTCAGAAATGATGGAAAGTGATTGGACTTGCTGCACCCTTACCAAAAGATTATTCCCACATCCACAGCAATCGGCCTGAGTTCATTTTGGACCCACCAAGGGAGCAATGCCCACTGTTGCACTGTGGCGCTTACCTACTGTTTAGCCCTTGTCTGATGAGACCCCCTCTATGGCTAAAGATATATAAATAATCAAACAATCCATGGTTCACCGAAGATGGAAAAGAGCGAGAGAAGGCTCAAACCCTCAGCCACCCTTTTTGCCAAAACGTGCATATAAGAGAATCCAAAAAGCTTTTCTTTCCATTATCCACCTTCCCAACTTTAACAAACATGAAGAACTTCACTAACCCAACAACCAATAAAAGGAAAATGAACAACTTGGGTTCTTCACTACAATTAATTTAGTGATTTTCAATGGGAGAATATTTGATAATTGACCATTGCTTTCCCTTTTGCCTATTTGCTTGAACAAATGCTGGTATCCAACTGAAGAAGGAAAAGCTTTTGTTATAATTGCGAAGCTCGTCCATTCTTTAAAAAGGTAATGGAAAAGGAAAGGCATTTTTTTTTCCTTGCTATGCTGTACACGTAAAATCAGAGAGGGAATCACGACTTGGAAATGAGAGGAGAAGATCGTTCTTTCATTTTCTTCCATTGGGCCCTACCATTTTTGGCCAAGCTGATGATTCCTTTCCACCCGTCCAATCAAGTTGAGGTTGGTTACTGCCCATTGGGTCATCCCTACCATACCTGGTTTTTTGGGGTCTAAGATTTTCAAAATGCATTGAGATGTTCATAATGAGACCTTTCTGTTTCATTTCGTTTTCACCCCTATGCCCGATTCCACTCCCTGGCTCCTCGTGATCAATTTTAATCTGACACTCGCATTCAAGGAAGGTGCATATCACTGTCCGATCGTGATCTCAACGAATAACATACCTGTCATTTTCTAAGGTAAAATATCCTTTTTTTTTTAATTTTAATCAAAATTCATACAAATTTATTAATATTTAAAATAAATATTTTATTTTTAAAAAATATTTTATTAAACATATAGATTTAGTCTATAGTTAATCATTAATATTTTTATTAGTTTGATGCTTAATCATATTTAAAAAATTATATTTTTATTAATTTTATTTACACTCTTAAAATAAAGTATTTATTTTAAAAATTAATAGACTCATTTAAAATTTTAATTAAAATTTTAAAAAATTAAAATATTTTATTTAATTTTTTGCATATTTTAAATTGAATTTTATTATTTTAAAAGACATTCGAATCTTACAAATATTTAATTAAATTTAAAATTACTACTCACATTTATATTCGAATATTTTAAATAATTTTTATTAAATATTTGAATAAGCTAAATGTTGAATTAAAATAAATATAAATTAAATTAATAAATTATAATTAATTCATAAAAGGTAAATTTTAAGTTCAAAATTATATTTAAAACAAGATATAATGAATTTTAATAAATAATAGATTATTTATTAAAATTTTTTAATATGAATAAAATTAAAAATAATTATTTATAATTAATTTCGAATAACAATTCTCTAATACTCGAGTTTGATTATAAAATATTTTAATTTTATTTAATCGGATATAAGGCGGTCATTGCTATTAAATGCATACAGTTGTTGGAGACTGCGGCTTGGGAGCGCGAAGTTTAAGAAAAGGAAAGACCTCTTGCCTTGTCGAAGCGAAAGTTTTGATGAGAAGTCAAAGGCAAAACACCTGATGGTAATTTGCTTCTGGAAACAATCATGTCTACGTGAACTTGTTTCGAAGTCTGTGATCTTTTTCTAAAGTGTTCAGAAAGAAAACCTATCATCATCATCATCACCATCACCGTAATACTGTCCTGACCACCTAGTTCTCAGATTCTGTCACTTCAACGTAATTCCAAAGCAAAACATTGCCCAAAGTTTATGGGTAAATTTTAAGATAAAATACTCAATCATTTTTAATTTTATTTATACATAAATTTATTAAGTTTTAAAGTAAATATTTTACTTCAAATAATTAAATGATTTAATATTGAAATGTAAAATATTTAAAATAATTTTTTTCATTTTTTTTTTTAAGTCGATGATGAATATCGATTGATCACTCTGTTATCAAATCTAATCATGAAATATCATATTTAACCGAATCTTCTTAAAATGAGAACCAGATCTAATGGTCTCAAGCTTCCCAACGGAGCACCAGATTTAGTGCACCCTCCGCCAAAGGAGTGTGGCCAAAGTTCTGGCTGAATTTGGCCATGCATGACTAGACCCAGCCGAGAGGTAGTTGGTTGACGATAGGAGTGCCGTTAAAATTGGAAGTGTTTTGAAAAAATTTATTATTATGATATAAAAAATTGAGAGAAAAACATTTAAATGGTTTAGAATGGAGAAAATTTACTAAGAAACTAAGAGGATTTGAGAGGAAAAGATGTTTGATACAAATGTCAATAATGCTTAAAATTGAACCTTTATTCATAGACAAGGTTTAAATATTTGATAACTGCTATTTATCTATCGATAAATAATATAAATTTTCTATTTGTCGATAGATTTGTATTTAGATAATGTTTTTTATGTTTAATTTTATAAATTTAAAATAAAAATAAATATTCAGTAATTTTATATATTTTAATATTTACATAATTAATATAAAAATATTATGTTATTTTTTAATGTTATTATTTATTATTTTTAATTACTTAAAATTAAAAAATAAATTTTTATATTAAAAATTAAAAATTTATTCAATTTATATATTTTTTATACTTAAAAGTAATTTTATCAATTTATATTATATTTTTAGTAAAATATTTACAAATTAAATACTATAATATAATTCTTTTAAAAATTACTCTTCGTACAAACATTACTTTCTTTTATTATCTCAAACACTATAAAATTAAAATTTTAATAATTATATTTCTTATAATTGCATTTCTAACCATATCAAACGTGATGCAAATCTCACGTGAAACTGATAACAAATGGCTTGACCGAAGCAAGTAAACTGTGCCAAATGGATAAATTGACGTGGCCCCTGAAAAGATTGGAAATCAAAAGCAACACGGCTCAAAGGGGTCCCACCACCTAGATCATCACCTTTGAATTGCCTCTGGATCAAACCGACTTGGATCTGACGGTGAATCAAGATGAGGAGGAGGAACACCCTAGAAAGCACTAGAGCAGCCCATCCTGGGAGACGACAAGAGGAGGACAGATAAGGTACACGGAAGAGAGCAGGTAAGCGTTACTTCAAACGATACCCGCGGGATAAGCATGACGTAAAATCATGAGACGTGGACGGTTGATGTTTGCGTTCTCTCGTCTCTCCCGGTCTATAAATTCCAAGGTCTTGGCTTCCCTGGAAACTCGTTCAAGTTGGTTGTTTTTCCCTCACAGAGCTGTTTGATTAGCACCAAAATCACTTCCAATTTTCAATCAGAAAAGAGAAGAATGTCTTGCTGTGGAGGAAACTGTGGCTGCGGCACCGGCTGCAAGTGTGGCAGTGGCTGTGGAGGGTAAGCAATTCCCCCCGCTTCATTTCCTTATGAATTCATAAGTCCTGCCATGGAAAAATTCCCCTTTTCCTGTTGCGGTTTTTCGCTTCAAATGAGTTGGAAATCTCTTTTCCATCAAAGGGTCTTCTCAAAATCGTTAATTTTTGTGACTGATCAAGACATTTTGCTCGTTATCTTGTTTTATTTGTTGTGATCTTGAGTCAAAGTTTTAAAACTCCTTTTGTTGATGATCTTGTAGATGCAAGATGTACGCTGACATTAGGTTTGCCGAGAAGACTACAACAGAGACTCTTGTTCTTGGCGTGGCACCCCAGAAAGCGTACGTATCAAAAAGATCAAGACCAGAAAAGGGAATTTCCTTGTCAAGTTTTGGTTTTTAAAGTTTCTGATCCCTGTTTTTTTCAATGCATGCAGGCACTTTGAGGGAGCTGAGATGGGATCTGGGGCTGAGAGCGGCTGTGACAACGGATGCAAGTGCGGAGACAACTGTACCTGCGACCCTTGCACTTGTAAATGAGAGAAGACAAAGATCCATGGAAGCAGAGAGGCCTTTCTCTTTTAACAAATAATTATTAGTATGTCTTGCAGTTATGTGTTTCTGCGTTTATTAGAATAAAGTTGCCATGGCTTTTGTCTTATCTGCAAATCTTCATCAGGATTTGCCTCTGTGGCAGCCATGGTTGCTTGGTGTGTACAAATATAGGGAAGTAATACTATTTAGCTTCTATGTCTAATGTGAGCATCTCTGCTATCTCGGAATATTATGACTATATATCCTTGTGTTGTACGAAAGTGAGTCAGTTTTCTAATGAATGAACCGAAGCTCCTTTCTCTTTAGTTATTTTCTGAGTTTGTCTGTGTTTTTCACTTATTTTCGGGGATGGTTTGAAGAATAGCGAATTTGGATTCGGAATGATCAGGTCGCTACAAATTATGGGTGGGAAGTGACTTTCATGTGAATGTGATTGATAAGGGCATTGAGGTGTGTGATTTCTACTGGAAATCAGAACCAAGACCAAGACTTTTTGCTAGTTTGGTGAGTGAAAATAATGGAAGAATGGCCCACATCCAAATTATAGAGAGCCTTCATTTAGTGTGAACTGTGAAGCAAGTTCCTGCAATTTCATTTGCATTGAAAAGGACCAATAACTTAATCTGCGGGTCGGTGGAAATGGACCTAACTTTGTTTAATGCAGGGTAACGCCATGGGCACAAGGGAAAATATCTTGTAAAGAGTAAGATGGGGAAACTAACATGTAAAAGGTTATGAGTAACCTTGATCCTATGGTAATCATGTTATCTAATTAATATGTAGGATGTCTTATTGACAAACCTTTCACCATGAAGCAAATTTTGGCAGTAAATTGTGGTTCTCTACACGAGCAAGATTGGCTACATTAGGCAAATTTGTTGGAAATTCGGACATTGTACCGCCTCGCAACTGGCAGTACAATAATGAATCTGCTGCAGGAGTAATTATAGCAAGAGGAGTACAAATCTGAAGTGACAGTCCAAGGGAAAATGATTATTAAGAATACTACAAACTGGCCCCATCATGCCTCAACTTGAACTACATTAGATTAATCTCAGACCATTGAAAACATCAGCTTAAAATGCAAGAATATTTTCATTTACAACTGGGTCCGGGTGTTGCAATTTCTGGTCTATTAAATATTCCTTTAACAGCTTTGCTGAACAAGTTGTAAACCTGCGAAGATGGATGATAGGCAAATTAGTTTCCTTTACTCATATTGGTTTCGTGACTACTGTGGGAAAATGAGAATTATTTGTTACCTGCTTTGATGAAAGGCCAATCTTTTCCAAGTCACTTAGCTGCAACAAGCAAAAGAATACTGCTCAGCTCTACTCATCATTCAAGAGACTCTGGAGTTCAAAAATAACATAGAGAGCCTACACTTTGGCTCTTTGCTTACCGATTTTAAAGGGCTAGTTACTCTGAGTTCAAGTATGTATTCTGTCATCTTCGATCCAATCCCCTATACCATAAAACAAATTACAAAATAAATAAAGGATAAGAAGGTGTTATCAGAAAAAACAGCATAGTATTACTCAGCTGAAACTTACCTTTAGGCCCTGTAACTCTTCTCTGCCAATATAGAAGCCAATGAAGAAAATCAGTTTCAGTTTTCACCCAAAACAGAAATCAAGACAATGTTAATATACAGGTAGGAAATGAAGAGATCCTGGCATAATAAAACTGACCTGCTAGCGGTATTTAAGAACTCAATAAATTCTTGGATAAGTGAGCTCTAAACAAAAATTTTATGAAGTTAGAACAATGGCTGAGATAGGGTCAATACAAATTTAGCTTAAGACATACATAAAGTACCTTGATGTTAGAACTCCATGCGTTAAATTTATCAATTGGGGTGCCAACATCTTGGAATTTTTTGGTTGCACTGGCCATGGAAGGCGTTTTGGGAGTGTTTGGCTCATATGATAATGAAAAAAATTGATCCTTGGATGATTGTTCTTTGAGGGATCCTGGATTTATATTGGAATTGATGGGGGACAGGACCTTTCTTAGAGGACTTTCCATTGCAGTTTTCCTCTCTTCTTTGCTAGATGGTTCTTCTACAAGTTGCATATAGTCAATAAGAAACTTTGTGACTTGAACAAAAATGTCCAAAATTTTCATTAATTCACAGGGAGCAGTCCAGACAGATAATTGTCAATAAATTTAATGGTTAAATAACATACCAGCTAAGTCCATAGTTGATTCCAATATAATCTCATCAACATCAGCTCTCTTTTCCTCTTTATTGCCCTTAGCCGAAAGGTGGGAACCCTGGAACGAAACTTTGACATTTGAGTAATGTAGATCTGTGGTTTCCAGAACAAAGTTCTCCTATAGCTTAAGCAAGCTAAAGTAAAATCTAGAATGCTTCTTAGTTAATAGAACTTACCTCCAAATAAAGATTAACAACACCTTCATTGTTGAATAAATTTCTGGAAGTCACAAATAAACCCCTGCATATATGTTTAACAAATCAAGAACTGAATCTGTGGGCTCAGCCAGTTCTGAAGGAAATTTGAATACTAGTAATTCCATACCTGTCTTTAGCATTAGAAGCACCTTCTTCGGCAGTAGCCTTGAGTTTGCAAGAGCTGTTATAATTTAGCTTCTTCGCAGAGCTTAAAGAACTGGGAGTTTTGCCAATGAATCGAGAAGAATATAGTCCCATTCTCTGTGCACTCTTTGTTTTGCCTTTTGATTCAAGCCAGGCTTGCAGTTTTGCTTCCATATCAACTTTATCCTTTGGAGTTTCTAGTTTTTGAGCTGAAGAAACTACATTTGAAATATGACGAGACCTAGCAGCCAAGCTAACAGTGTGAACAGATTCTTGGTACTCTCCAGGATTCTGTCATAAAACAAGGATGACATTGATCAAAATTTGAGAATTTTATGAATAATATGAGTCAATAGGGCAGGATTATGAATCATTTTAAGCTAAATGAGAACTCCTCACCAGACAAGCAACCATCAAGGCACGGCTAGTTCCTCCAAGAGAATCCTGCAATATCCGAGTCAATTTGCTTTCTCGATAGGGTACTCGTGGTTTATTGTTGTTCAATGCATAGATTACATTTGACAAAGCAAATAAGGACTGGTTGATCTTAGCACTCTCTTGGAGACGAATGCCTTCATTGCAGGTCCTCCTATTATCCTCATTGCCTAAGTAAACATAATGCAAATTAGTAATGTGACCTACTAAACATTACCTCAAATACAACAAAAAACTCAAAAATGTGCAGAAATTAACAACCTGCTAAGTCGATGAGGTTCAGCTTCCCCATCGTAACGGGCCCAGAACCATCATCACAAGGAGTGGAAACAGCAATCACAAGGACACCATGGCTTCTACTAGAAACATCATTGAGACCAGTATGTGCTACTTTCCTTCTCTGAATTCCACAAGAAAAGACTTCATGAAATTCAGACATGGAATTAATAGGAACCCGAGATAGGCCCCTTAGATGAATCTGCCCATCTTTGTCATCCAAAATCGAAATTTCCTTTGTTTTGACTTCTAATAGATCATAACACCTATCCATGTAGACTTCATAGTACGAAATCTCGGCTATGCACCCTGTGCTTTGGCAGATAGACAAAATTGTGGACATGGCCAAAGGCACAAGACCTGGCAGCTCTTTTGTACCCTGCAACATCAAACATGTCCTTCATCTCTTCACCATAAACATAATAGCATTCTAAAGACAAGTAATTAAAAGGAAAAGCAGAAGCTGAACTGAACCACTAAACCCTATCTTTGTAATCACAAATCTGCCACTTAATTAAAATCTAATTATAAGAATTAAGGGGTTTGAAAGATTGGACTTCGCAAAGGCCTTGTGATGAAATTTCACTGTAGAAATCAAGTCATGGATAAAAATACCTAAAGATTTGAACACTAAACCATTTAATTACAAGAATTTGACAGCTCGCAAAAGCAGTAAATCATACAACTAAGATTTTATCTTTTCAGTTTTAACCATACCTGCATGGTATAAGTTTTTCCACTGCCAGTAGCCCCATAAGCAAACACTGTGGCATTGAAGCCATGAAAGATGCCTGGAATCAAAGAATTCACTTCTCTGTAGAATATCCTTCTCACATTATCATCTTCTTGGTCAAAGAAAGAGTCCAATCTATAACATTCATTTCGGCTACAATCCAACAAAAGGAAAAAAACCCATGATCAAGAAACCAAATAAATTTCATTTGCTCAAACTTCAACCACCCCCACCCAAAAGGAGAAAAAGAATGAATCTCTTACCTGGTATTAGGATCTTTAAGATGAACAGCAACTTCATCAGAAGAGTCTTGATTATCAAGAAGAAAAACGCAGGACTTTGAGTTGCCATTCCTTGCAGCAATTTCTTGGGGAAGAAAAGGACGGACTCTAACCACCACCCTTACTTTCGAAACGATGCCTTGTTTCGAAGGAGTACACAATTTAACGCCCTGGGTTTCCATTAAAGCAGAATCTTTGTGAGTATAGAGCAGATAAAAGGAACAATTTTGCAGAGAAATGTTAGAGAAAGAGAGCGTAGACACAAGCAGTTTTGACAGACAACAACAACAACAACGTTGTTTAGATGAGGATTTCGGATTTTAAAAGATTTGACCGTTGGGGGAAAGCAAGGGAAAAGAGGTCAGCGTTTCCCTTTCCCAACATTTGAATTTGTCTCGTCCGTTTTTGGTCTCGTGGGGCCCACCCTGATGAAAAGTAAAAATCGTTGTGCTTGAAAATAAAGATAAATGGAAATGAGAGGGCTTAAATGAAAATATCGGAAAACTGAACTTCCGTCGGAATTTCCTATAACTTGAAGGATCTTTGAGAAAATTCCCCGGCAATTTGAAACGCGCCATTTTTCCCGTTTCTTTCCCGTCACCTGTTAAAAGTAAACTAATTTTTGAAAGAAGGGGCAGGGCAACAGCATTTGACTCTTTCCACTGTTTTTCCCTCCTCCTCTTCTTTTGTAGTAAATATTCGGACCCTTTATTTGTAATTCAACAATCAATAAATATTAATGTAAATTATTGGAAAATTTTTTTTAAAAATGATAATAGGTCGATTATCCTCTCTTTATGGTAATCTTTCAAATTATAAAAACCACTGACCATATTTTTATTACAATAATATATTTTTATGAATAATTAAATCGATAAAACTTGCACTAGAATGAGGTATAATTAGTGAGAAGAAATGGAAGAACAGACTTTACATATATTATGATCATAATTTTGAGAAGATGGAAAGATAAAGTATTGTAGTACCCTTGATGATAAACAGTTTATTTAGAGCTAAATCACATTGATTATCTATTGCCATAAGATTTCCTTCTGATTGGATCACCAAATTGTCAAGCCAATGGGAAGAAATCAGCTTTGAATTCCTGGGTCCATTATGGTTGCCCTTTTCTGCAAATGTGAAAACGGAGGGAGAGTGAAGGTCGAGTTATTCGATGAAGGAAGTTGGAGAGAGAGACAGAGAGAGGGTAAATTTATTTAATTTTTTAAAATTATTAAAATATTTTTTAACTTAAAATTAGTTTATTTATTCATATTTATGAGTATTTTTTAAATTTTACTAGAGAAAATTAATAACCTAATTCTTTGTGAGAATAAAAGCTATAAAAAAATTATTTACATGATGTTATTTGAAAAAAATTATAAAATATTATATGAGAAAAATTAAAATCATAAAAGTGAAATTTGTTTTTATATTTAATACTTGTGGAAAGTTGATAATTAAAACGAAGTCTTAATTGTAATTGTTGTAAACTTTGCGATGATCGCGATCAAGATCACGACAAAGGATAAGAGATAATGATAAAATTCTTTGATCAACGTTGTTAAAACGATAATAACTTAACTACTCGAAAAAAAATAAAATAAAATTATAATTGATTTTTTATTATTGTTTTAACAATTGATCAAAATATAATTAAATTTAACCTAAATAAGAAGTATTTTTATTTTTTGTTACAATTTGTTTTCTAATGAAAATTTTCAAAAAAACTTTGATTATAAGAAAGAACATTTTGTAAAGGGTTTGATCATAACGTGAAACATTTTTAAGTAAAGGATTGACACATTGATGAGCAATCAGCCAAATCAGCTAAGCCGTATCTTTCCCAATTCTTGTTCCCCTTTTAAACCTCGAACATGTTTCAGCGATCCAACGCTCCAAAAACACCCGCGAAACCTCGCCGATGGATCGACCCACTCGATAAACTTGTTCGACATTTAACTAGTATGTGGGGCTTTTCCAAGCTAGAGTGCCGTTTGAGGTTCAAACCTTTGCCACCACCCCACCCCTAACGTTAACTTTGAAGCGTTAACAGCCGTTAGCAGGTAGGGTTTTGAAAAAACTGAAAAAACACGTAAATTCTATAACGGCAGTTAACGGAGACGTCGGTGGTGATATATTCGTTATATAAAAACCTTCACTTTTTATATTTTTTTATATTTATTTTCTCCTTTTGTGTTTTTCTGTTTCTCTCTCTCTCTCTCTTCGTTTCAACGGGCGAGGATTTTTCGAAGCAAAGGAAGCAACGTTGGAGTTCCTTTAAACAAAGAAACGTTCTTTCTTTTGGCTAGAACGGATTTTTCTTGAGGGAGCTGCAGCTTGATTCCCGCCACTGAGGTAGGTTTAGCTTCTTGAATCAGAATTCTTTTGTTTTTCTTTCTTTTTTGATTACTTTTTATTTTTATTTGGATTTTATTGTTTTGCACTCTTTTGATCATGTTTCTTGAACCTCAAGTACCTTGGATTTGTGAAATTTTTATTGGGTTTTAATTTTTTTGGGGTTTTAAACCCTAGAATAATGTTTAAGTGATGTGGGGTTTTGGTTTATATTGATTCGTTTTGATCGGATTAGTGAATTTTAGATCTGGGTTTTGCCTTTTTCTGTGTTTGGCGGTGGTGGGATTGGAGATTTTGGTTAAAAGTTGGGATTTTAAGGGTTTGGAGTGATCATGAATAAGTTATTAAAGGTTTTTCCTTTCTTTTGTTTGCTTTTTTCTTTCTTTCTTTCTTTTTTAGCGTTCTCGTTGATTAGGATTTTGGGGTTTTGGAGATGATTTAAACGAAGAGATGGCTGAGTTAACGATGGTGGAACGTTGTATTGAGAATAAACAATTAACCACTGCATCAAGTTCTTCTGTGTCTGAAGGCGGTGGCGGTGTAGTTGTGAAGTCCCCAGGCATATCCAGTCCAGCACCATCTTCACCAAATCATCGGTACTGTCAGTTAATAACTTCTTTAGCTTTTTTCTTTTTGTATTGCTCAAATTGCTTCACAATATGGTAGTTCTTTGCATCACAGTTGGGGTTGAATTGTCATTTTAAATGTAGTGTTTGGGGGTTTGGATTCTGCTGATTTTGCTTTTACCTTTACACAATTTTGTTTTTTGGTCGAGTTTTTTATTTTGCTCTATGTTAGATGTGGATGCACCAGCACATATTATCGAGTACTTCTTTCTACTGCTTGAACTCGTCATGGAACCAATTTATATTGAGTTTTATTATTTTGAACAATGTTTCTGCCAGCTGAGAGTAATTGTGTTATACTGAATTTGCAGGAGGACCACTGGCCCTATTAGGCGAGCAAAAGGTGGCTGGACGCCCGAGGAGGTAAAACATTTAATCCCTTGTATTTGACTTAACTCATACTAATTACTATCTAGATAAAATGCTTATTGTTTTTAATATCCTATCATTTGGTGAGAAAGTCATATTGAGGTCAGTCCAGGCGAGTTCTTAAATCATCTAGCATGGATTCTAGAACAATTGAATTTTTTTCAGTGTTCACGCATGTTCATTTGGTGCAGCTGCCGCCTTTTATTTTACATTGTTTTCTGTATGTATCTGTTGCAGGATGAGACATTAAGAAATGCGGTTGCAGCTTTTAAGGGGAAAAGTTGGAAAAAAATAGGTTTTCTTCATTCCTCAGAGTCTCCTTATTTTGTTATTTGGGCTATGTTTATCCAGTAGCTGTTCTTTCCAACACGATAAATCTGATATTGCCTTTTTTTTTTACTTGAAGTTATTGTCTCCTATCTGTGTTGTCTAACAAATAAATTTAGGGTCATGACTATTGGATAAAAGCAGCATCTCAACCCTTAATTTGTTGTAATTATAATAGCAGCTTTCTAATTTAAATCCTCTAACTGGTCTTAACAATTGCATATGCATGTGCAGCTGAATTTTTTCCTGATAGATCTGAAGTGCAATGTCTACATAGATGGCAGAAGGTCCTAAACCCGGACCTTGTTAAAGGACCTTGGACTCAAGAGGTAGGCATTCTAGCCTCTTCCTTTCTTTTATGCTATCTATGTTTGTAGTTCATAAAACAAGCATTAAACTTTCTGTTGCTTTTTAATTCTCAGGAGGATGACAAAATTATTGAACTTGTATCAAGGTATGGGCCCACAAAATGGTCTGTTATTGCAAAATCCTTGCCTGGACGCATAGGGAAACAATGCCGTGAGAGGTAATTTCTTAAATATTTAATATGTTTTATTTGCATTCCCTAAGAGTCCTTAAAGTGCTGGATATTTGAATGTTGATATGATTTTGCCACATGTCAAATGATTGCCTGCCTTTTATTTTTATTTGTATATTAACTAAATTACGTACTAAAGTTTATTTACTAAGTTTGGTATAATGAGGCTATTGAGATTGTTGTTTTTTTTTTTCCTGGATCTTCTAATGCAACTGTGTTCATGAAAAGCAAATAAATGGTTTGATAATTCCATACTTAATTAATTTTCTGCAGATGGCACAATCATTTGAATCCTGATATAAAGAAGGATGCTTGGACGTTAGAGGAGGAATTGGCCCTTATGAATGCACATCGGATATATGGGAACAAGTGGGCTGAAATAGCTAAAGTTTTACCTGGAAGGTATCATACATTTCTAGTTTATAACTTATGTTACATGGCTTGGATTCTAAAGCTTAGTCCAGCATAATTGACAAAAGAGATGTTATAAATTATTTTTGAAGTGCCATTTGATGCGTTGGCAATAGCATGCTAGTTTAACTTACAGTGAATTTATAAATGCAGGACTGATAATGCAATTAAGAATCACTGGAATAGTTCCTTGAAGAAGAAGCTAGATTTCTATTTGGCTACTGGAAAGCTTCCACCAGTTGGGAAGAATGGCCTCCAAAATGGGGCTAAGGATATGAATTCATCTGCTGCAACCAAAAGTTTGCTTGTTTGTTCGAAAAAAGAATCAGATTCAACTGCTCAAACATCATCAGGAACTACTGATATATGTAAGCCAGAGGAAGATGGAAAAGATCAGTTGGAGTCCTCTGCTCCAGTTCAAGGTATGGCTGCTTCATCAAGTGTTATTCCAAATGAGTCTGCCGATACTGAAAGTGCCGAGGGAAAGCCCCAGTCCTTTGATGCAAATCCTTGCTGCTGTAACTCAGAGCCAAGGGCAAAGTTTGAGAGTCGAGGGATTAGTTCTGCAATTGTTGAAGACAAAGTTGTTGAGACACAAGTATGGCACGATAGTCCAACTTATGGTTCTTTATGTTATGAGCCACCTAGGTTACAAGGTGTTACTTCATTAGATTCAGATAATTTAAACAACAAAGGCATGCAGCCTGAATGGACCTCTAGTCCTATCACATCACCCATTAGTTTCTTCACTCCACCTAGTGTGAAGGGCAGTGGTTTAAGTGCACACAGTCCTGAGTCTATCCTTAGATTTGCTGCCAAGAGCTTCCCAAATACACCTTCCATATTTCGGAAGAGAAAGACTGGAGCTCAATCGCTTATGCTTCCCAAAATGGGGAGAATGGAGGAAACAGTCAAGAATAGGATTCAATTATCTGGTGAACAGGAAAGAACTGAAAATAGTCTGGAACAAGCTCCGTTACGTGATGGGAGTTCATGCGAGAGTCCTGCTTGTCTAGGCACTAGCAGCGTTGGGCCTAATTGTATAGCATTTAATGCATCTCCTCCATACCGGTTAAGATCTAAACGAACTGCTGTTTTCAAGTCTGTGGAGAGACAACTTGAGTTCACATTTGATAAAGAGAGGCATGAAGATAATGCAAAATCTTCGGATCTATCAATGAATGGGAGCTCTCCAATTGAAGATTGCTTGAATGCCACGAAGATGGGGGTCACATAGGGCTTAAACTGTAAGTTATAGTGTTGCATCTCATGCTTTACTTGTTCAATCTTTCCTAGAAACACGTGAAATTTTTTACTTTTCCTGTGGTTTTACTGGTTTACTTTGATTTTAAATCTGTTGTGTTAATGCATAGAATGAAACATCTGCAACTTTCTCCCAAACTTTTGCTTGACAATGGACTCTGAGCAAGATAATTTCACCTATTTGGATCTAACTTAAGATCATGAATCATTACCACCACTTAAAACTTTTCAACCACTATTCACAGAATTATGCTTTTCTATCTAGTAGTAGTTTTTCCTCTCTCATTCGAGTTTGTCCTATTCATTTACCGGTTGGCTTGCTGAGGATATCAAATAAACGATGAAATGATTCTTATTTATTTCGTTCTCTCTCTGTCTCTCTTGTAGGATGAGGCAAATATTCTCTCAAAGTCGGCTATCTGTTTCCTCAGCAATGGCATCCGAATTACTAATCCTAGCAGACTTAGAAATCGACAAAGTCGTAATAGTCTTGTGAGGGACACCTTCATTGCAATTGCTCAATCATCTTGCAGATAACACCAATCAAATACAGCAAGACCGACATCAAGCCGTCATGGACAAAGGTTCTTCGGCTGCTGTTTTCCAGCCTGTGTCAAAATAAAAGGGAGAGAGATACACCCAAATTCATTTTGAAGAATACTGACTGACCATTTTGTACAGTGTCCATTTGAAAGGAAAACAAGTGATGCTTGAAAAATCTCCACAGCAAAGGTGTCTGGAGTGGTTTATGTTTACAGGAAGACTTGTTAACCATTACTAACCAAAACAATCTGTATTTAAAGGTGGTGGTCTTTTGGTTTAGCTTTGTCATCCTTTTCCACATTTCAATGGAAAATTAACAAATACATTTCTTCCATCCTTGTTGATTGTTTTAAATAATGAAAATAACAGTTATCAACTATTAATGCATTATAACATTGAGCTTTTTTTTTAGTACTTTTCTTTTCTCTAGATTACAAGGCACCTTAACACCCATCACAAATTTTAAACAAACTATATAATTTTTTTTTTGAATTATACGTGGAAAAGTTTTCAAATTATTTAAAAAAATTTAAATAAATTTTCATTTTTATTATACTCAATCAAATTTTTATATTTCTATTCGAGTCTAATAAATTATTATGATTAATAATTAATTATTTTTAATTAAAATATTATTTATTATTTTATATCGTATTGTATTAACATAACATGTTGGTGTTTTAGTAAATGATAATGTGATTTAATAACATGATAATATGATATTGTTCACCTTTTATATAGTAATTTGATTAAAAAAATAACATTTTAACTAATAATAATTAATTATAATTAATCATAAAAAATTATTTAATTTAAAATGAAAGTATAAACGAATTAAACATTAAAAAATATTTATTTAAAAATTTTATAAAAGATTATTTTTTAAAAAAATATTTTTTTAGCTAATTGAGTTAATAAACGAGTTAATGAGAAATAATTGCCGTATCATATTAAGGGTAGAACTTGATTTTCGAGCTTCTGTTATTCATGAAAGAATGTGTATTAAAATAAATATATACACAAAAGAATTCATATATGATATATTGTCCACGTCTGTATATTTTTAAAATTTTAAATTTTTAAACATTTAATTAACCAGTAATATATAAATTTACATTAAAAATAAAAAAATTATCAAAATATTTTTCTCCATCCTGCTATGACTTCCGTACTAATCCAAGCTTTAAAGACTTTGTTCAGGCCACAAAACGTTGAACGCGTGTCAACCAAACACTAGAACCACGAGAGATGCCTCGAGAAATTATTTCTAGTCTTAACCAAACACTAGAAAATACAACAGTGTGAGAAGTATTTCCCTGGATGGAACAAGGCCTTGGGAAAGCCATTTCATTAAAGTGAGGCAAACAAACGCATCAAACACTGGGATAACCAAACCCAATTCCCTAACCATGTAAAAACAAACCATATATGCCACCAAGAGTTTATATACTTATAGCAGCGACAGGAGTCTATCCCAGGCTATGAACCATCGGCTTCGACCGGAAACAACATCCCGGGCTAAACCATCGACCGACAAACATTAACGGAAGAGCTGCTGCTGTATCACGAAACTGTTCAACTATATACAACATGCTACATGATTGTAAAATGGAAAAAGATGACTGTTCTTTACATTAGAGAGCAACAGCTCCACTCTGTGGAAATGAAAATGGAACCTCATCCCCGACCCCAGCGAACATGGAGAGAAAATAATGATAAAAGCATAAATAATTATAGGAAAAGCAAACTGTTGTTCCACTAAGTTCTCTAGTTTAAACCATTGTCTCCTATCAACACTGTGGATTTAGGCCAGAAGGTGTTCAACTGATGACACATGGGTCAAGGCTTGAAACTCTAATTGCTGCAGGTTCTTCAATCAAACTGTACATCCATGGAATGCAAGAGAAGGGTAGCAAAATCTGCCAGATCAGACCTTGAAGGAGAATCTTATCACCTATGAAAAAGCGAAAGAAAGAATTGAGACATAAAATCAACACTTAATGGCTTCTAGCAATTTGAAGAATACTTGTGCATCATTTCCTTCTGACACCACCTCTGTTCCAAAGGGAAGAAAGATTCACAATGAAAGAAAAGCTTTCAAATGAACTAAAAAGAACAAAAAAATTGTAATACCGCAAATAGAGTTCCACCGGACTGACCTGATTAGCAATATGTCCAGCCATTATGGTCCACATGCCAACATCAAATTCCAAGGTCTCTAACTTAGTTTGCACAAAATATTATGGATACTGGCAACCTTCAGTTCTGCAGAACCACTTTCTATCCACGAGCTGGTTATCCGATTCAAATGCATTGCACCCAAAAAGTCAAGATAGAATTTAGCCAATACAATGAGGGATATTCATGATTTCTAGTGAACAGAAAAATACAAAAAGCAAAATGCCCACCACCACCTGATCATGAAGCCAGACTAAACCATGAAGAAGGTACCAATGGTAGTTTGGCTGAGAACCTTCGAACTCCGATCAAGGCCATGAGAAGCAACCTATTAAAGAGAGAACATAGATTGTTAGGTAATAAAAAAAAGAAAAAACAACTTCTAAAGGCAAGGGAAAAAATAAAAAACAAAAAGATTCTCAGATCACCATGTAAGTTAGAGCAGCATAACGTTCCTCATTCAAGTACAGTGGCTTTCCTCTATGCATTTCGCTATCCTGAAATAAGAAAATATGTAGAACAATGCAAATAGATCACAATAAAACCCTTTCATATTACAGAAACACAAAGAAAAGCATATTTAGACATTTAAATTTTAAAAAAATCCTGCTGTAACATGCCAACCATATGGAATTTCAATCAAAGGTTTCAGACATCTCATACAAGATTCCAGCAAATAAATAAATTCTAAAGAACACTTGAAGCTTTTACATCTATCAAACCTATTATTTGGATATCACTGAAGTTTGAAAATAAATTTGAACAGAATACCAAGTAGATTAGCCATTAATAATCAATCATTAAAATTTTGCCAAGTCCAGTGACGTAGAGTTGCAACCAAATAGGCATTAAAATGGTTGCTTGATTCATGAGTAACTAGGCGGGTAGGGTGAGATTATGCATTCCCTTCCCTTGGGGTTCAAGAAAACATCTGTCCTTCATGGTCAGGTAGCAACATCTAATCTTGATTTGTCATATAAATCATTCAAAATTTCTTTTCTGGATAGAAAACTTGTTATGCAAGAGGGTGCACTCCAGGTTTATATAATCAAAGTTGTCCAATTTGCCTTCCTAAGTGATTCTCCCGTCGACTTCATTTTACATATGGTAAACTAAACCAAATTACTACTCTAAGACGATGATAATTCTGAGATAGTGTCTGTCTGTGTCTGCAAAACTCAGCAGGAGCACATTCAAGACAAACACAAATAATTTTGATGCGGGCTCAATGAGCCAATTCATGGTCTCAATCACCAAACCAACTCTTGGTATGAAATATATATTTTAAACTCAGGTACAGGCAATGCTAAACCGCTGTTTTTGTCCACTTTATAACTTGCAACAAATAGGCTAGGTCCAAAAAGACTCATGAACTTTCAAAACTTATTAAATCAACGTCCTTGTGTAGTTGGTGCCAGTAACAACCCTAACCATCCTTCGCAGGAATAGTACAAGAGGCTAAAAGTGCAATTTGTCAGATCCTACAGCACTCATAGTAATAATTTATTGGCTTCATCCTTGAGTTTCCAAACTACATCATTGTTACAAACTTTGCTAACAAAAAGAAAAAGCTTTACCTCTTCACCAAATGCATCCAAATATGGAGATGGCCAAGGAGCTTGACGTGCACATCTTTGCAGCAGGATTGTTGTTGTCTATTAAATAACAAAGACTATTAGCCATTTTCATGAAATAATAGGTAAAAGTTCCAGACAAAAACTAGGAAATCATTACCCTTATCAACAGAAAAACGCCAATACCAGCACCACAGACCATTGCATGAGCCATGCATCCACTATCCCTGGTAAGGAAATATTCTAAACAATGAGAATACCAGAAAATCATGGATAAATGCTCATGTTAAGCACAAAATCAGCAAAAGAAAAGAAAGTTCAACGTCAACCTGCAGCATGGTTTCCAACTAGGAGAGCATAGTCTGCCACACAACAGGCATAATGCAGGCTGCTCAAGCACAGCTTTGCAATCAGGGCAACACTGCTTTATGTACCTATTGATTGACACATTTTCTTATGATGAAATTACCGTCAAAAGTGACCAATATCAGCATGTATAAGGATGAATTTTGTAACAAACCTTTGCAATAGGTCTTGATAAACATGAGGCAGACTCATCAACTTAAACGGAACTGCAGGATTGCAGTAGAAAACATTTTGGAAACTACAGGCTTCATACACCTTGTGGAAATGATGAAACCACTTTAATGCTATTGATCGTGAGACTTCATCCTTGAGAACAACATCTATAGGGGGAATCTTAAACATCTTCTCTAGTTCTTGTACTTCATTGAGCTCCACTGAAGCACTTTCAGTTGTATCCATCACATCAGTGGTCACTTGAGATGATTCCCACACATTATCCCCATCACAGAATGGTGCTTGGGCAGAAGACTTCATCAATTTCCATAACAATGCACACCTCCGCAAGTAAGGAAAACTTAATCTTCGAATCATATCTTTAATATCACAAGAATGGTCAACATCTTTTGATACAAAATACCAGCGAGCAGAGTCAGAACCTCCAAGAATGCCACAGATATCAGTAATTAGGCAATCATGGGAATCTAACTCATTGATGTTATAACCATGTCTCCCACAACATATAATTACAGCCTGAAATCAAAATATCACATTTGCCAAATTAGAGTGACTAATGGTTTGATTCGTAGAAAATAAATGCTTTGAGGAAAATTTTACCTTGAACATATCTTCCTTAAAAACAAATCCTAAAAACAGAACATGTTTGAATAAATCACTAAAATGTTTCCTAGAATTTTAGAAGTGTTTTTTCAAAGTTTCTTCGTATTTTTTTATTTGACTAGAAAATGTTGTCCATGACCCAATTTTCTTGTTTATATCAGACACCAGAAAATCCACAGACACACACACACAAAAGGAGAAAAGAAACGCGTTCATCAACAAAATGGACCTTTACATGAATAGAGAACTAGTAACAAACCTGAACCATGGAGACAACATAAAAGATATGGACAAGGGATAACAGGGACTCGTCACATGATATAAATGGGCATGGAAGACAGAAGAGAACCCACATCAATGATGAGAAAGGGTCACGGGCAAGAACAGGATCAGATGCCCGATTCCAAAATTGAATATCAGGATATATTGCTTCCTTATCATCATGTTTCAAGATACCAAGATTGCCTGTCAACAAACAATCATGAGTCCAACATTGAAAGCACAAGAATCCAAAGTAAAGATAACTTATCTGCAGTTTGATAATAGTATCTACACTTAAAGCCAAAGATGACACCCACGCCCACACCCACACCCACACCCACATACATCATGCAAAGAATATGCTGCTCCTTTCATTAATTTGTTTAAAGAAACATTCTCTCCCTCTTTCCCTGTCCATCCATCCCTCTTGTTGATGGTTAAGTGGAAAACAGTTGTTTCATTAGCATGAGTAGAAAATTTTACATGTTACACCTTCAGCAAATCTAAAACAATCTAAGAACAAAATAAATCCTTCATAACATTTCCGGAGGTCATCAAGAACCTATTTGGATAACCTTGATTTCTATTTTTTAAAAAATATATACAACATCTTGAATGTACAAGCAGACATTCTGCATAAATCTAAGTACCAAAATTTCAAATGAATCTCAAAGCAATAAAAGCAGGCACATCCATGATGAAAGTTGTACCTTCCTGTTTATGTCTGCTGCTGTCATAATCAGGGGAAACCCTAGAGCAAATTGACTCTGCAAACAGCTGAAGACCTCTAAATCTTTGAAGAGCGTGAAGGGAATTTGTACTGCTCAGGTTCTGGACAACTCTTAGCAATAAGGAAAATATAAATTCACTAGAAGATTTAAATTCCTTATACAAAGAAGTAAGGGTATAATTGGTGGTCATCGAAGTCCTTCCACTGCGAGCAGCAATTTCTGTTGACATAAGAGAATACTTAAGAGTATCCCATAAAATTACTGGGTGGCTCAACCTTGGAGATCCTAAGAGCCTATCCTGCTTTTTTGAAAAATACATTTTGGACAGCACACGAGATATAGGTTCAAGATTCCGACTTGTGCTTTCTTTTCTTTGAAGAGAAAGAGCTTCAAAAATATCCGGTCTACCAACCACCTTGGCAGCAGTTTTTAGAAGAGATAACCCTTGCTGAAGCAGAAGGGAATAGCTTTCTTCCTTTGATGCAGATGAAGGACCTAAAGCAGGTAGTGGATCAACACTTGAAGTCATAGACTGCCTTCCAGCCTTCTGCAAATTCCCATGCACTGCAGGCAGGACAGAATTTGCTAGTCGACGACACACAGGACACAGAAACTCTCCCTGGCAAAGCAAACAAGTGAATATCAGTCCAAAACAAATGTAAGAGATGTATTTTGTGAACAAAAAACTTCTGGAAAGCTTCAACCTGATCTGGATCCACAATATGTGCCCCCTCAAAGAAACTTCTTCGAACATATCTGACCACAGAACAAAGAGATACCTTAAGCACTTTCATGCAGAGAGCACTTCTATGCAAACCCATGCATGGACAAACATATAAATGCTCATTTAAATTTTCGAAGTTGAAAGGCATTTCTGCAGCTTCTGGTTCCTTGACAAATGAAATTACATATAGAATTCAAAAACCATCCAAATATTAAACTAAAGGTTCCTCAAGGTGTTTTCAGGGTTCAACTAACAGAACTCGCAGTTGAAAGCATTCTGAGTTTAAATTAAATCAAGCTACAATAGGTAGTTACAAGATGGTTTGAGGATTTAAAGGCTCACAAATACCTTATCTGTTGCTTGAAATCTAATCAAGCCTGTTCTAACATTTATTTACAAAAAATCTCTCCAAATTTGACAAAGCTTATATCTTCATTTCTTTAGTTCCTACCACGGTCAATCACATGTTTTCATCTCATAACACACATTTCTTACTAATAACTAATAAACCAAAAGAAAACTCGTAAAAGAACATTTCAATTAGATAACCATTATTCCTAGATCCCTTTAAAATGCAATGTATAAAAGCACAACAGCTTGCCACCGTATTCTTTGATCTGACATATATCAAAGAAATGCAATTTAAAATTACAAATCCCACCAACCACAGGTAAACTTCATGTGTTTCTTTCACCATTGCCACCCTTCTCCATGGAGCTTGACTCTTGAACTAAATTTGGGTATTGAAAACTCCAATCTCTGGTTCCACTCCAAAGCCCATAATGCTTGTAATTACATTAATATAAATCACAATTCATTGTGACGGATCAATTTATGAAGACATTTTAAGATTTCAATAGAACAATCCCTTCATAAAAGGACCATATGAAGCGCAAAGCAAACAGTACTGAAGTATAAATTTAAACCACATAATTTCAGAGAGAAAGATCAATCAAACAAGGGTGCATGAGGGTTTAAATTTTAACTCTTAGTGACACATTAAAAATAATGTTAAAAGAAATAAGCTAACCTAAACACCACGAATTACTAATGATTTTCCTTTTTAAAAGACTTGCCTTTCCTTCAGTGATGATAAATAGCGATCAAGACAACCCTGATGTACAGCATGCCCACAGGAAGAAAGATAAATTCCATCACAATCTAATGGACCAAATCCACCATAAACAAGAGGCTGTGAAGTAGATTCTGTCATCTCTCTATCACCATTAGTGTTTTCAAAACCCAAAGAGTTTTCACTTGTCTCCTTTGAAATAGCAGCAATGTATTTCCGAAGAAAGACAGATTCAGCATCCCTGCTGCTTTCTGGAGAACATTCAGCAGCAGAGGATACTTCATCCTCTTTAATGCTTGAGCTTAATAAAGTATCACACATTTCTTTACGAATATGAATATACATATCTTCTTCCAATGTCTCCAAAACCTTCACATCACTAGATGTGGAAGGTGCTTGAATGCCCCTCACCAAAGGAAACCGAGACTTTACAAAGTCAAGAATCACATTTACTTCCCTGCGCTGCCCTTGCCCATTACTGGTAGACCCAACAACTGCATTATCAGTCAACTGCACCAACTGAGAAGCCAATCCTGAACTACTGGAAGAGGCATTTGACCTAGGCTGATCAGACCTATTTGTAAGACTATAGCCTTGCTCCTTGTCTGACCATAGATCCCATGACGGGGGACCTCTATCCACAAAGCTCAAAAGCCTAGATTTCTTTTTCCAAAAAAAAGTAAAATGTTAATTCTTGCAACGAAATAAAAAAAGGATTCCATTTGTCTCAAGGGACAGGTAACCTACAGACTTAATCACTTACTTGGAGAAGAATCAAGAAAGAAACAGGATTTTTGGAAGTAGAATCATGGCAAAGAGAGCAACACTCTTGCACAGCACCTTCTGTTTCATGCTCAGTGTCAGAATTAGACATTTCTGCTTCAGATTTTAGATCATCGTCAGCAGTGGAATTGATGCTTGTCAAAAACTTGGACTGCTCTGCTTTCATTTTAGCCTGCAAGAAGAATTACGAAAAACAGAAGTGATTCAAAGCCAGAATCCAACTAATACACTGAGATCATGTTCCATTTTAGTTCAAATTTTATTTGTGATTGGTTCAATGATGAACAAAAATACAGCAGCAGAGCATCGACACAGTCAACAGGTGTGTTTAATTTGTTAATCAATACTCAGGCAATGCACCTAGCACTTGTATATGCAGAAAACTATCTGTTTTTCTTTTACTGCAAGTTTTTCACCAGGCCAATAAATAAATGATACATGGCATAAAATAGTGAGTTGCAATCCCACATGATCAGGGGAAAACCAGACCACTTAGATGAGAATCCCAGACTCAGAAGAGAGATGTTGGCCTCTACTTTCAATCATCCTCATTTTAGAGGAAAGCACACGTGGGATTTTCCAGTCCCAGTAGGAGCCTTCATTATTAATGTTAGCTGAGGAGCAAATTGCTCCAAATCAATATTGTTTAGATCTTTCACCTGCACCCCACTAGATTCTCAAGATTGCTTCACTCTCACTTTAAATACACTTTAATTTTGTTCTATTCCACACCATTCATGATTATAATATTATCCATTGAATTTGAATTACATACAACTTAGCACCATTTCTCATTCAAAGAGCTTAGTTCTTTTCCATTTTATTCTTAAAAAAAAAAATTCACACATAATTCTAAGACAAAATCTCACCAATATGGCAGCTTGTCTTTCACGAGCTTTGGCCTTGCGCATCTCACTATCAGAGGCTGAAACTGATCTATTCGTATTGCTATAAGGAGTAGATTGTGATATATGGCAGATCACTTCAGGCGCAAGTTGTTGCAGTTTGGTCAAGCACTGGGAGTCAACTTCAGCGAACTTCTTCAATATACTTTCAAGCAGGGGAGAATAACCGCAGTTGCTAGATTCTAAATAGTTGCTTTGATTCTCTTGCCTATGCATTCTCATTAATGCAACAAGAAGTGACAGCAAGCTTTGTTTGCCAGCACCAAAATTTAATGATTCACTAATTTCTTCACCAGCAAAAGCTAGCATACAATTTAAATCTCCAATATGGCATTCCGCACTACTAGATCCATTCTGCTGTAAACAGATGTCTAATGTTAATGAAAGTAAGTGCAATGCTGTAATAAGAATACCATCAGGAGCACGTGGTTCAGTGAATTTATCAGTGAAAACTGCATAAAATAACACTGCACGGATAATCTGAAATGTCACTCTGCATGTAGCAATTCTAGAGACTCCCTCAAGAGGAGGATATATTTTTGTCCACCTAGGCAGCTGAGTAGTCATTGCAGAAACACCACAGAAACGCAAGTATCTTTCTTCTGCAACTTGCAAATCCCTTGAGTTCCAACGAGGGTGGTACAAATCCAGCTCCTTCCAATAGGCCCAACGCAATGAATACATCCCCTGACATGCATCAATATTAAGCAGTATTAACTAATCAAACTATTTTGTCCAACCACGAGCTTTTAAAGATATTTCAGACCACAAATCCAAACCTGATTAAAGCCAGATGGATTACAGTACACAGCAACCCTGTCTAAAATTTCTTGAAGCTGGTCAAACTTAGACAGATCGCGAGGTAGAGATTTCACTAGTTGGCTGTGAGTGGCATCTCCAATAGCTAACTTATAAATCAACTCTCTTTTCAGACTGTCAGCTGTATTGCGTCCACAAAATCGCCTTTCTTGTAAAATTTGCATGATAAGAGTGAGCATTTCCTGAACAAGAACTGGCTCGTACCTAAAGGCAATATTATTAAGCACAGTAACAATGTCAAATTAAATCGAACATGAATTCAGAATCTTATTAATGTCCATATGGCTGTACACTGTACAGTGTGCATGGGAGTGTGAGTATGTCTTCCATCTTTGCTACTTGGTTTTTGCTGCCCAAAGAAAAAGGTAACATTTGGATACACACACAAACATATATAAAAGAAGAATTGACTGGTACGAATATCCAAAAGAATGGTTTCACGTCAATTGGGATTCATCATGTTTCTGTCAGGTTACTCTTCAGCTACTTGCCCATTCTTAAACAAATATAATTTTGCATTTTGCTATTTACTACCTTATAGCAAAATTTGAGTAACCCAAATGTAGGCACAAAAATCAAGTAGCAAAAGTGGCAACCTAGTGAAGCCTTAAAGTTCCTCATATATTGATGCACCCATTCCTTAAAGATATCCATTCAAATGGATAAACCAAGAAAGCATGGAGCAAACTAGAAAAAGATATTTCTCTTATAAGTAACATGCTCCATGACCTTTACTAGTAAACAGAATGGACCATGCTAACATATTCCAGCACACAGAGTTCTAGTCACTTAATGGAATCTGTAAGAGGAATAAAATCACATTAAAACCATTTCAATGATGTAAAGTAGAAGTTAAGGGTCTAAGTGCATACTCATTTGATCTTTCAAGGCTTAGAGAAAGGTAGTTTAATAGCCCAAAGCGCTCTACAATTCTTTTAACATAGAGATCAGGAGGAGCCAATGCAGCACAGCACTGCAGCAAAAATAAATCAAGCTCCAAACCTTGCTCAGACCTGCTAGTAAAGAACATCAGAAAGATATTGACAAATGACAATTAAAAAGTGGAAACTTCGTGGGGAACTTTTTCCCCTTAATTGCTTGAAACATGTAAAGCACAATTTACATACCAGCGAACTGAGCGGTACCACTCACAAGATACTAGTGCAGCATCCCCATTCTTCCGCCACATCCCAGTAATAACTTGAGCACAAAATACCCTAATCCGTAAGGGATGCTCCATAACAGAGGCAGAAAACCCAAAAGGATGGAAGCTCTCAAGGATGTGGCCAAAGAAATCAGCATAAATTGCTGATATAGAACTTGTAGAACAAGGATTTCTTACATTTGGCATCACAGATTCACCATGACACATTCTTAATGCCTTCTGCAGAAGCAAGGAAAGCAATCGATGTAATGGAATGTGAACAGATATCTCTTGCGAACTAACATCATAAATAATATCTGGCCATTCGGACACACGAAGAGTAGATAGTCCAGTGCCAATGTCTGTCTCCATGGCATTGACATCCAAACACAAAGAACCACATGTGACTGAACTGATTTCAGCCGGATAGGTTGGATTACAATCTGAGCCTAAATTTTTAACAATCTCCATGTCATCACTTGCTTGATGTCCACTACATAAAGATGAAAAAGATTGTGAGCTATGATTTTCACTTGAACTAGTCGGTTTACCAAAATATTTGCCTTTCCTAATCTTGTATAATGTCTTTTTTATTGCTAAAAAATTGCTATCAGAATTGCCACTACTATTTGGAGAAGTTAAACTCTGAAGAGCTGCAGAAATTCCGTCATCAACTTCCAACCAAGTCTCCATAGACCTTAAGCACTCACGTATTAACCAGATGACGGAGGAGGGAACTAAAAGATGAGATACAGAACCAGATCCAACTTCAGTAACCTTTGATGCAGTCCTTCCTGTTACACTACAAACAGAACTCTCTTGGGATAGCCTTCCTACTTTTGCATGCCTCATGCTATCTCCATCATCCCTATCTTGCTTATAAGTATAAGAAAGAACATTTGGCAGCTCACTTGTGGCAACAGCTCCATCCACCAGAAGGGAGTGAATATTAGCAATAGAATGGCCTAAAACAAAAAGCAAATGCATAGACTCATTTTCTTCTTCTATATGGAGGCCAGTTTCCCTCTTTATAGGGTTCATCCCTTGCACAAAAGCCAAAAGCTTTAGCCAAGTTCTTGAGACGTCCTGCTGCTCATGGGTTGCATATTTGGAGACTATGTTGTGGCTCATAACAAACCAAATATCTCCAACTACACGTTTAGTGGTGTCATGCAAATTTCCCCACTTAGCAGCCTGCAAAAGAAGAAAACACAAATAACTTCACATAGACCATTAAAACTTTTAACACATTACTATTGAAATTTGTATTCATTAAATATTGTTTTCAGCGTTAAAAACGACATAACATAGAATGTGGGCAAACCCCATCGCTAGTAGGCTCTATTTTGTTTTTGATGCCAAAATTGTATGACATGATAAATTATGCTAATTCAGTTTACATTCATACAAAACGTGTTATTTCAGTTGAACATTATTCTTTAGAATAAATTTAAATCAACAATTGACCTACATTCCTATTTAACTCATATATGGCATATTAGCATCAACATGCTTTAGAGGAAAATTTATAAATTTTTGTAGCATTCCTAGGAATGCCAATGGTAAACCAAACACAATAATCCTTTTACCCAGACCAAAACCTAAGCCCAAGATGCCCAGGCCAAAGATTGACAAGTAGACATTTTCATTTACAATCAACACCTAAAAGTTGCATTGAAAGATAAATAAGGGTTCATCATGTCACAAACATAGAGATTGTCTTCATCTTCTCTTTCTGCTAGCTTTATCCCTTCCCCTCCATGGACGTATATGCTAAAGAAAGCTCAGATTTTTTAAGCATTTTTCCACTAAAATAGAACGCATGCCAATAAAAAACATGAGGCACGCTATGGTGATATTCCACATAAGAAAATCATTTTTCTACCAATATAGAAGGCATACCAATGAAAACATGAGGTGTATATGGTGATATTCCATATAGAACTACTCATGTATGCCTTTACTCTCTACAGGCAGCACAAATGAAATTACATTCTTGCACAAGAAGCCTGTCATGAAGCTCATCTCAGTATGCAAACAAATAATTAACAAATTAAGAAGGCCATAATGAAGCTATGCCCACGAACAGAGTACTTCTATGATACTGTAAACTAGTAAAAGGAAACAAAAAAAAAAGACTGCAATTACCTGCAAGCGGCCATCTTCCCGGGCACAAGAAACAAAAATTTCTTCCAAGCATCCCAGTAGCATGCCAAGTAGGTTCATCTCCTTCACAAGACGTGGAGTCAAAGTAGGCACTGTGAAAATTTGGACAGAGAAAGTTGAGAGTAGGGGGAACTTTGTATTAAGAGCGTTGTCATTGCCCTCTTTTATGACTTCATTTATAACAGTAGGGTAATACTTCAAAAATTCTTTAGAGAACTCAAATTTGAAGACAGGCTCCCCCAGCAATTTCAGCAGCAGTTCATGGAGTTTCTTAACAACACCATCACTTGAGAACCTCTCTGCTCTGACCAGAATACCCAATAAACCATCTAAAGAAATCACCCTCCTAGACACAAAACTGAGCAAACTCTCGCTGTACTTGCAAAATTCTAAAAGCATCTCAACAACCACATATGTTAGCTCATTTGCAACCTTCCTCTGCTCAGCACCACGATCATTTGCTCTAATATTTTCCAGAAAGATACTTTCTGCTGAGAATAGTTTGTTTTTCCAACAAATAAAGAGTGCATCAAGCACTGGCCCCACAGAATTCACTAAGTTCTCAGGAAGTGGTTGAATCTGTTCAGCACCTTTATGCTTTGAGCAAAAACCCTCACGTTTCCAGGCAGTTTCATCCCCACAATCACAGCAACCACCGCCCGTATAAATAATAGAATAATCATGATCCTTATGATTCCCATTCTGGAAACAAGGAACACAAATAGCACAAGTCGGATCATGCTCACACGTCCGGCACCTGTATGCAATGTCATTTAATCCCCAAACCGCACCACAAACACCACGTTGACCGATACTCAATTTTGCTAGGCTTTTCAAAGCATCCACCGGGTCACCCTCAAACATCAACCACTGTAACCAAACCATACTCTCACGAAACCGGTTTTTCATAGTTAAACACATCCATTTCTTAGACCTTAACCTAGCATCTTGTATAGACTCCGCCACTTCCTCATCAGTAGGTAAGATTGCGGAAACTACATTTGGTAACAACAATCCATTAGCCATAACAAAGTCAACTATTCCCTCATAACGCCTCTCGAGGTACTCCACTGGAATCCCTAAAACAGCTAGCCTCTGATTATAAAATCAACAAAACATTTTTTCAGATAATAATTCAAAATTAACCAATTCAGACGCTAATTCAAACAATCTTCAACATTTCACATTTAACCTAATCAAATAATCAGAAAATTAAGAAAAAAAACTAAACAAATAATAAGAAGAACATACCCGTAAGACTCGATCACGGGGCTTAAGAGGCGAATAATCGCTAGGCGATTCCATTTTATGACGGAAAACTAAATGGCAGTAACGAAGCAGCCAATCGGCGCAAGACAAACACGGCCCTAATCTGGAGCCTTCTTCACTCCCCAGGTTTACTTCTACCACGAAATTTTTCAAATTTCCACCGAAATTAACCCCCCCAAAAATAAAGAACACCCTAATTTTACAAGTCCTAAATCATTTCCCAATTCCCGATCATTTTAGTCGTCGTTCATTGTCGGCAGTTCAGACAACCAAACACGACCCTCGGTTTTTCTCATTATTTTTTTCTTAATGTCACTATTTAAATAAATATCTCCCCCTATCTCTTCGCTTAACTTCGTTTCCTAATTTTCTTTGATATGGCGGTGGTTCAACATTGTCTGGAATAATCTTTGGGGAGGGAGGGATAGCGTGTTCCTGCTGTTCTCTGTTTGGATAATAATCTCTCTTCTTACTCATCAAAAGCTTGATAATCTCTCTTCTCACTCCCTGACGTCAGTGATTCATAATTGACGGAATATCAGGAAAAAAAACTAAACAATAAAAAAAGGGAAAAACTATTTTGGGCTTGGTTCCTATGAAATCGAGCCCATTTTACTCACAATCAGGACCCAATCAATTATGTTAATCCAATTTTGAATGGGCTTGAGATTGGTGGTTTAAAAGATTGGACCCATTTAGGTCCGAAATAACTAAATTAATTTATTGATTGTAATCTGAACAAATCAAATTGAACTAAAACGAATTGAATCAATTTGGATTGATTTATTTGATTCCAAGCGAATGATGTTTATTTTTGTAAAAAATTATTATTATTTTTTGCTCAAAAAATAGAAAAAAAAAAGAAAAAAGGAATGAAGTAGGTGCTGCTTATTGAATTTTATCAAAATTCCACTGAAATTAAAAGCAAATTACAATAAAGTATAACTAAATAAAATTGGATCTACTTGCATGAATGTAAAATTCAATTGTTTCTAAATTAATTATCACAATTTTGGACCAAGTTAAGGCTCCTTATAGATTTGAAACTAAGGCAAAACCAAACAAATTGATAAACTATGGATGTGACCATGTGGGTGAAGGTCATGACTGGGCTTTTTGATTAATCTAAGTCTAATTGATTATAGACAAATTATAGCTTAAAGACACTACTTAAAATGATGGGTATTTTTTTTGTCAATAACACTTAATTATCTGTCAATGAAAAATTTCGTCAATATTTCATCAAAAATATAATAGTCAATAAAGGTTAAGTTCGTTAATAACGAAAATAAGAAGTTTACGAGATAATACTCTAATGCTTAGCGAAAAAGGATGTTATTAACTGTGTTGTTCTGACTTTTCACTCTTTCTTTGATGATGGGGTTTAAAGACACATTTTTAATAATTTTCGAATAAATCACAATACATTTAAATAAAACTATAGAGTTAGCAAAAATGACAATAAAAAGGGAATAGAATACAGATAGGAAATAAAGCTTTATAAATGGTAACAACAATTAGCATTTTTATCTTATATTTGGGTTACCTAAAAAATATACTAGAAATAATCCTAATTAAGCTTCTGCATTAAATATTTTTGTCCAAATCCTGAAATTCTGTTTCTTACATTACCATACGTGCCACTCTGCTTTTCGTTGCATGTATATGACAACTCAAAAGAATCATTTTCTCTTTTTTTTTTTAATACTTACCATAAACAAAAAAATTAAGGAATACTTTTAATCTGATTTTGTTTCATTCCTTCTCCCTTTCGAAGAACTTTGGAGAGCCCCAGTAAGTATCTTTGAAAACCTAACCTTGTTTAGGCGTTTAGAAAGTTGAAAATGGCAGATATCGATCGCCCAACACTACGAAAAGAATCTGATAAGCAAAAAGATGAAGGAAACTTGGAAAGGGATGGTGCTCAACAGACCAAAATGGTGGATACTGGTGATTCAACATCAAGAAAAAAATCTGATAAGGGAAAAGTTGAAGAAAACCAAGAAAGCGGTGATGCTCGACAGACCAAAATGGTGGATACTGGAGATTCAACACTGGTACAAGATTTTGATAAGGACAAGGCTGAAGAAAACCTAGAAAGTGATGGTGCTCAACAGATCACCAAAATGGTGGATACTGGTGATTCAACACTAGGAAAAGGATCTGATAAGGAAAAAGCTAAAGAAAACCTAGAAAGTGATGGTTCTCGACAGCCCAAAGTGACAGATACTAGTGATTCAACACCTCGAAAAGAATCTGATAAGGGAAAAGCTATAGAAAACCCGAAAAGTGATGGTCCTCAACAGTCCAAAATGGATGAAACCAACACTCATAAGACTGTTATTGAAGCAGAACCTTTAGCGTGGAAGTCGCCTGCAGATCAAGTAGTGATTAAGCCTGCTTATATAGAAGGGCAACGTTGTGGATTACCAGAAGGATGGTATGTAGAGCAAAGACCTCGGACCACCCCAAAGTACATTGGAAAAATAGATCAGGTTGTTTCATCGCTCGATTTTTTTTTTGAATCCTTCTGAGACGATTAGACATGATTATTAGCTCTTGAGATCCCTTCTAAGTAAATAAATCATTAATTTTGCTTAGATTAGTGGGGATACAATGAAAAACAAATGAAATAAATCTAATCTTTAGTTGATTTGATTACAACTTGTTGCAACTTATCCAATAGTTTTCCTTTGATCTCATTAAAAGTAATTTTTTCACTTCTTATCATATACTATTACTGATAAACTTGGTTCAATTTCCTATTAATTATCAATGAAGGATTTGAGCTAAAGGGGCCAGATTTAAGATTTATCAAATCTAAGAAAGTGAAATACATGATACTAAAATTGGTTTATTGATGGCTTGCATTTAAAGAAATTATAATATCATGCTAGAATACCAGTAGTATATACCCAACAAAACAATATAATTTCGAATGTTTGAAGAAGTTAGAGTTGCTGGTTATTATTAATTATTGTCATGGTGATGCTAAATATAGGTTAAGAGAATGTTGGTCTCATACACTTCATTTGATAGTACTACATCTAATTTATGCTTTTTTGGCTTTGTTGATATCATGAGAAAGAGATGAAAGGACTATTAACGAATAGAATTGCATGTGTACCCTTTGTAAATTATCTCACACAAGCTTTAATCCTCAAATTTTTGCACGTAATAAAAGCTATTATCTGATCTTGATAAAGTTATTATCTGATTTTGAGAAGTATGCATTAATTAATACGTAAATAATTTCAGTTTGATGAAAAACTATAAATTTTCACGAAAATCATGCATATATGTTTGTCATTATTTTATCATAATACAAACATTTGTACTATTTATCGTTACATTTTTTGTAATAAATATATCAATTACATGTACAACATACATTCGTGTACATTTATTTTAATACATACATGCATAATGTTTGTTGTTACACATTTTATAATAGATATATTAATATATGTGTACAACACATGTTCATACATACATGTACATAAATACATAACTATTGATTCATTTCTCATATTTACCATCCATTAATTGATCACGAGATCATTACCATCCAAAAAAATGATCATTAGTTTAGTAATTTATAAAGGCGTTGCTTCTTATACTTTGTTTCTATCCTTTTAATCTAAATATTCAAGATACATAACCCTATTAGTCATGAGGACTTGAAGTAGTAGCTTGATAAAGCTTATCCCCAGTTTGCTATTTTACTACAAATTTAAAAAAGTGAAATACATAATATTACAAATGATTTATTGATGGCTTATATTTAAAGAAATTATAATATTATGTTAAAAATTAACCCAAAAATAAAAGATCATCAAAAAGTATATGTACACAGAATGCTAGTGGTATTTGCCTAACAAAATAATATTTCTAATTCTTGAAGAATTTAGAGTTGCAGATTATTCTTTGAGTATTTTGTCACTAAAAATTCATTGTCTATGGTGATGTTTAATGTAAGTTAACAAAAAAGTTGATCCCATTACTTCATTTCCTAGTACTAACACTAATTTATGCTTCTCGACTTTGTTCTATAAGAAAAATATATCATAGAAAAAACTAAAAAGACTTAACAAATAGTATTATATGTCCATTCTTTGTGAATGATTTAAGTACCAATTCACATTAATTAATTAATGCAAAGCTACAATTTATTTTATATATATATATATATACACACGTTGTTAATTAATACGTAAATCATTTCAATTCTACGAAAATCTTCTAAATCTTTTATGAAAGTCATAAATATCTGTTTGTCATTATTTTGTCATAATATCATATAAACACACACGCACACATATATACATACATACGTTATTCTGAATATATTAATATACGCGTGCATTCACGCGCACATATGCATGTATACCTAGTATGTAACTTTTTTTAATTTTTCTTGTTTACTATCCATTAAATGATCATAAGATTATCAACACTTAAAAAAAATTATCATAAAAGGAAGTATGATGTTAATTACTACGCAAATCATTTCAATTCTACCAAAAGATTTCAAATCTTACATGAAATCTTATGTGAAAGTCATGCATGTGTATTTATGGTCATTTGATCATAATATCTCACAAACATATATATATATATATGTTATCATGAATATATTAATATATGTGCATGTGCATGCACGCGCACATATGCATGTATGCCTAAGTATGTAACTTATTTTTTCATTTTTCTTATTTACCATCAATTAATGATTTTGAAATCATCAATAACCAAAAAGAAAATAATCATAGAGAAGTATGTTAATTAATACGCAAATCATTTCAATTTTACAAACAGATTCCAAATCTTTTGTGAAAGCCATGAATGCATGTTTGCCATTTATTTTGTCATAATATCTCACATATATATATCTACGTGTATTATCATAAATAAATTAATATATGCATGCATGCACGTGCACCTATGCATGTACACCTAGGTATGTAACTCTTTTTTCATTTTTCTTGTTTATTATCCATCAAATAATCACAAGATCATCAACACCCCAAAAAAAAATTGATTATGAGATTGGTAAATTATAAAGGCTTTGTTTCTATGTTTTTTTCTAAATATTCATTATATATATAACTTATCAATTATTGGGCCTTGTAGTAGTAGCTTGACAATGCTTATCTCTCCATTTGCAGTTTTACTATGAACCGGGGACAAGAAAGCAATTTCGATCATTGAAAGCTGTTCTTAGGCACCTGCAAGTCACAGGGCAACAACATGAACAACTAGCTCTAGTTGGAAAAGAAAAGAATGAGCAAGCCATAAGGCAACAACATGAGCAACAAGCTCATGCTGGACAAGAAAATGATGAGCAAGTCACAAGGCAACAACATGAGCAACTAACTCAAGTTGGACAAGAAAATGATGAGCAAACCACAAAAGAACAACATGAGCAACTAGCTTTTGCTGGTCAAGAAAATGATGAGCAAGCCATAAGGCAACAAGATAAGCACACATCTGAGACAATAAATCAACTTGGAGAACAATCTGAGGTGAGCATGCTATTGATATAATCACTTAACTTTGGCTTCTTTATTGCAACTTTCTGAACGAGCGCTGCACCATGTGTTTATATATATATATATATAGGTTTCAAAAAGCTCCAAAGGGCAACTATTGAAGAACAAACGTGGGAGGAAAAAAAAACAAGCAGCTTCAGGTTCTGAGTTTGATCATGCAAATCCTCTTGAGAAAATAACATTAGCTCTTAACACTGATGTTGAGAATGATCGATGTCAACATGGAGAGCAATTTGAGGTAAGCATGCTATCAATGTAATAACCTAGCTTTGGCTTTTCTACTGCAGTTTTCTGAACAAGTGTTGCATTGTGTGTGTGTGTGTGTGTGTAGGCTTTGAAGAGCTCCAAAGGGCAAATATTGAAAAACAAACGTGGGAGAAAAAGAAAGCAAGTAGCATCGAGTTCTGAGTTTGACCAAGTAAACCGTCCGGAGAAAATAATATTAGCTATTAATACTGATGCTAAGAATGATCAATGTCAACAGAGAGAGCAGTCTGAGGTGAGCATGTTATTGATGTAATAACTTAGCTTTGGCTTTTTTTATTGTAACTTTCTAAATGCGTGCTACATCATGTATTTATATATATATATATATATATATATAGGCTTCAAAGAGACGTGGGAGAAAGAGAAAGCAAGGTGCTTCATGTTCTGAGTTTGACCAAGCAAACTCTCTAGAGAAAATAACATTGGTTCTTAGTACTGATGTTAAGAATGATATTCAATATCAACATGGAGAACAGTCTAAGGTGAGCATGCAATCGATATAATAACTTAGCTTTTGTTTCTCTATTGTAGTTTTGTGAATGAATGCTACATCATGTGTTTATATATATATATATATATATAGGCTTCAAAGAAACGTGGGAGAAAAAGGAAGCAAGTAGCTTTAAGTTCTGAGTTTGACCAAGCAAACCCTCTAGAGAAAGTAACATTGGCTTTTAGTACTGATGCTAAGAATGATCAATGTCAACATGGAGAACATTCTGAGGTGAGCACGCTATCTAAATAATAACTTAGCTTTAGCTTCTTTTTTTGTAACTTTTTGAATGAGAGTTACATCATGTGTTTATATATATATATGTGTGTGTGTGTGTGTGTGTGTGTGTGTGTGTAGGCTTCAAAGAGCTCTAAAGGACAAATATCAAAAAACAAGCGTGGGAGAAAAAAGAAGCAACCAGCTTCAGCTTCAGGTTTTGAGTTTGACTATGCAAACCCTCCAGAGAAAGTAACATGGACTCTCAGTACTAATGTTGAGAATGATCAATGGATCCCCTCTATTGGTGAAACAGTGGCTCCAAAAGTTGTCAAGGATTTATGGGCTGAGACTTTTGTCTCCTTGACCAAGAAGAATTAAAGCACCAAAACTTAACGTTTTTACAAGGGTAATGTTCTTCTTTTCAGCATTACAAGACTGAAATGCAATTAGAACTTCCCTATAGTTTCAATGGGTAACTCTTTTATAACTTTTCTAAACTTTTATTGTTAAACGTTTCCTATGAAACACAAATATAACAATCTTGCTCTCGTATAGACTCATTTTATCTCTTTTTTTCTAACTTTTATAGGTGGCTAAATTCTTATCAAGGGAAGATTTACAATGATAAAATCTTGCAAAACAAAAAAAAAAGAAAAAAAATCACTAGAACATTGGACATTAAAAGATTTGGATGCAATTCAGAAGCTAATATACATACATACATGGGCGCGCACGTGTGCATACACGCACACACACATATACAGTAATAAATTCCCATTATAACATCTTCCACAAAGGTTATTGGAAAAAATTATATAAGCTAAAAACTTTAATTTCTCAAACACCAAAAGATAGTTCCTGCCATTTCACAAACAATATAATAGAGAATACAAAAATTTCAAGATTACACATCAACAGCTATATAAAAATAGATGAAATAAAAAATAAAAGAAAGAGGAATGAAGTAGGTTGTGCTTAATGAATTTTATTAAATTTTCACTATAAAGTATAACTAAATAAATTTGGATCTACATGCATGAATGTGAAATTAAATTATTTTTATATTAATTATCACAATTTGGATCAAATTTATTATCCTTGTTGATTTAGAACTAAAACAAAACCATGCTTGTGAGTTAAGTTCATACTTAGTAGACTTTTGGATTAATATGATCTTAATTATAGGCAAAAAAAGCATAAAAGACACGTTTTAAGAAAGATGAATTCTCTAACAAACTAGTTAACAAAAGGAAGAATTTTAGATGATAGTACTTTCTACATTACACTATAATGATCTCACTCCTTCTTTGATAAATGGATTTTAAAACCTATTTTGATAATTCTTTGATAAATCACAATGCCTTTAAAAAATATATAAAGACTAATATTAGAAGTTTGCAAAAAAAAAAAGGTCAAAAAAATAGAGTATGCCTATATTCCAAAATTAAAGACTTAAAACAACATTATCTATTCTGACCATTACATTATTATATATAAACTAGAAGATACTCGTGATACGCAACAAAATTTAAATTGAGTGAATACTTTTCTGTGATAATATTATAATTTTATTAAGCTCTTTTGTATAAATCATCACAAAATGTACAAAAAGTTATTCTATATTGAACAATGAACAAAAAATATTCAAACAAGCTATTTCAATATACATTGTGTCCAACAAATGATCTCACAGTAGTGATTTTTGATCTTCAACCACATTCGTCTTGTCCATGTCCAGCACTACAACAAATACTCATAAATAATTGTTATAAAAATATGCACAAAAATGATTCTATACTTTGGCGATTCATGGCCAAACAAAACCAAAAGAAAGGTATGCAACGTTTACCATCCGCACAAAGATGTTACTTAAAATATTTATCATTTGACTAAGATTTGCACGAAGACAACAATAAACGAAAGATAATAAATCGATTAATTCAAAAAGCATAAGGAGAATGTACAAGTAACCACTCATTCATAGTCGCTGAAATACCACCAAATTATGCAAATATTTACATATTTTTGACTTTATTGCAGATCATAAATTTAAATGCAAAGTCCAATAAATAGAAAGAAAAAAAAAGAAAACATAATAAAGAAAGTAAGCAGAATATGATGATGCCTTGATCAATCTTGAGACAATTAGACTGGTAGATTATAGCAACTAAGATATAAAGTTCTAAAAAACTTTGGATCAATTTAACCAGTTACGATCGTTAGTGCTGCAGCATAATCAAGGAAACAAATATATATTTTTTATCTTCTTGATCGATCACAAGTTCAAATGTACAACCCAAAAAATAGGAAAAAAAAAGCAAACATTTGCATATTCATGTATAAACAAAGATTACACTAAATCATTCATAAAAAAAAGTGTATTTGATTTTTTTTTTAAAGATAAGATATCGTTAATTCATTCCAAGGGGGAAAAAAATTACCCCAGTTAAAGAAACATCACTAAAAGGTCCTTGAACATGGCACAAAAGCCTTAAAACAAGAACAAATGAAATACCCCAAAAAACTTAATTTTTGGAATCGATAATGCATGCATTTTACCATTATACCATGTACTTGAAGTTTTGGCCAAATGCTTTTTACTTATATTATAAAGTGAAATGGATGAAATCATGTACATTAATGAGTTCAATATTGAAATTTCATAAAACAATTAAAATATAAGTGAACAAATATATTATCTATATTCATAGTGTGCATAATTACTACCAGCTTTGTCCAGTGCCCCACTTTCATCCAAAGTACTTGAATAAAAGTAAAGTAACATAAACATTATGCCTTCTAAAAATTGTTATAATTTCATACCAATGTAAGTATTTTCATAAAGTTTGGACTTGTAAACATTTACGCACCAAGTTAAGTATTTTACCTCATAAGTTTTGGACTCATGAACAAAACTACTACACCTTTAACAATGAATAAAATTTTTTTGCACAATTTGGACCAACATTAGACAATAAAGATGCAAAACAATGCAAAAAACACAACTCACATGCACAATATGGCTTGAACCACCTTTGATCATGACCTTGTTCAATCTGCTAGCTATTACACTTCTCTTGGTCTCTTTGTCATCTTTGTTCGTGGCCTTGGGTTTCTGATCAAATACGACCAATTGCTTTTGTTTTATCAAGTAAGAAAACTATCTTCATAAAGTTAGATTTTTTAGTTTTTCTTAGCTCAAATTTTGTGCTAAATAGTAGAGAAATTGTAGGGTTAAGAATGAGAATTTCCTTTTTAAACTCATTCTTCTTTGACCTACATCTTGCTAGAGCTCTAAAATTTTTTACTGCCTAACTTTTTCTCCTTCATCTCTCCCATTGGCCACACTGAAAACACCATCAATTGAAAAGCCTTTATATCAATCTAGTTGAAATCGAGTCCAAACATGTTTTTTCTTAACCCGAATCTTGCCATAGAATTATCAATTCTTTGCTAATAATCCATGTTGAGGGTGATTACCTTGCTAATAGATAAGTCTTCGAACTTGATTTTCTTGGAAATAGCATCTTTAGTGATACCTAACTTGGGGTAGTGATGACCATGCAAAGCTTGGCGAGATCCATAGGGAAGGAGAGATCAAGAATAAAGGAGAAAATAAAGAAAAAACCCCAAAATCTCCTTTAAATGTGCTAAAATGCCAAGGAAACGAAACGAATACTTAAAAGAAAAGAAAGAAAAGAAACAAATACTGGCAGTAATAAAGCTTAGCATTTTAATCTTGATTTGGTAAATAATCCTAATTAAGCTTTAGCATTAAATATTTTTATCTTAATCTTGCAATTTAGTTTCTTTTACCTTATGTGCCACCCTACTCTTCGTTGCATGTATACGACAACTCAAGAGAATCTTTTCTTCTTCTTTTTAATCTGATTTTGTTTCATTCATTCTTTCATTTCAATGAACTTTGGAGAGCCTTTGTAGTTGTCTATGAAATGCTTCCTTTGTTTGAGTTTTTAAAAGGTTGAAATGGTGGATATTAGTGATTCAACACCAAGAAAAGAATTTATAGGGGACAAGCTGAAGAAAACCAGAAAAGGGATGGTGCTGAATAAACTCAAATGGCGAATATTGGTGATTTAACGTAGGGAAAAGAATCTAATAAGGAAAGAGTTAAAGGAAACCTAGAAAGGGATGGTGCTTGACAATTTAAAATGGCAGATACTGGTGATTCAACACCAGGAAAAGAATCTGATAAGGGAAAAGTTGAAGAAAACCTGGAATGTGGCGATGCTCAATAGACCAAAATGGCAAATACTGGTGATTCAACATCCGGTAAACGAATCTGATAAGGACAAGCTTGAAGAAAACCTAGAAAGTGATGGTGCTCGACAGATAACCAAAGTGGCAAATAATGGTGATTCAACACCAGGAAAAGAATCTAATAAGGAAAAAACTGAAGAAAACCTAAAAAATAGTGATGCTTGACCTACCAAAATGGTAGATGTTTGTAATTCAACACTAGGAAAAGAATTTGATAAGGGAAAAGCTCAAAAAATCCCAAAAAGTGATGGTGTTCGATAGCCCAAAATGGTAGATACTAGTGATTCAACACTGCTAAAAGGATCAGATAAGGGAAAAGCTAAACAAAACCCAGAGAGTGATGGTGCTCCACAACCCAGAATGGATGAAACTAACATTGATGAAATTGCCATTGATGTAGAACCTATAGCATGGAAGTCACCTGTAGATCAGTACCTATTGCTTATAATGCCTGCTTATAAAGATTGGAAGTTATATGGATTGCCAACAAGATGGCAAGAAAAGGAAAGACCTTGTACCCCCTTAAAGTATTTTGGTAAAATGGATAAGGTTGTTTTATCTCTTGACTTCTTTTCTTTTAAGTCCATTTGAGACATGGAGCAAACATGATTATTAGTTCTTAGGATCTATCCTAAGCAATCAAAATATCAATTTTACTTAAATTGGTGGAGATGTAATGAAAAAGAAAAGAGATAAATCTAACATTTCTTATCAGAATAAAGTTATATTGAGGTAATCTGATTACAACCTATTCCACTTATCCAACATTTTTCTTTTGGTCTCTTAAAAATAAATTCTTAACTTCTTAACAAATATAATAACTGATCAACTAAGTTCATTTTTACTACTGAAGGGTTTGAGTATGCGGGTTAAGATTTAAAGTTTATCAAATCTTAGAAAGTGAAATGCATAATACTACAATTAGTTTATTAATGGCTTATATTTAAAGAAATTATAATATCATGCTGGAAATTAAGCCAAAGAAAAAAAAGGATCAAAAATAATTTTTACTTAGAAAACCAGTGGTATATACCTACGAAAATAATACTGATACTTGAAAAACTTAAAGTTACTGATTATCATTAATTACTCTCATAGTGATGTTGAATATTATAGGTTAAGAGAAAAGTTGATCCCACATACTTCATTTAATAGTTATTACCTCTAGTCTTATTCTTTCTTGGCTTTGTTTGCACCAATCTCTTTTGCGTTACCTTATTTAATCCAAAATTCACATTGCATAAAAAGAAATGCATGATGCAGGAAATGTCCACAAATTTTCTACAATATATATTGTTTTAATTAAGAGATATATTGCTCGATTTTAGGAAGTATATACATTGTTCATTTTTACAAAAAATTTATAATTTTCATAAAAATCATGCATTTAGCTTGTCGTTACTTTGTTATAGTACATATGTATTTACTATTTGTCATCACATAATTTAATTTTCATGAATATATTAATATATACATACATACATACACGTACATATGTACATATGCATAATTACACAATTTTTGAGCCATCTCTCATGTTTACCTTCCATTAAATGATCATGAGAAAAAAAAATTGATTATGAGTTTAGTAAAATATAAAGGCTTTGCTTCCTATACTTTGTTTCTATCCTTTGTCTAAGTATTCAAATATATAACCTAGTAGACATGAGGACTTGAAGTATACCTAACAAAACAATATAATTTTCTAAAACAATATAATTTGCTGATGCTTAAAGAACTAAGAGCTGAAGATTATTAATTTATCATTTCCTCACTAAAAACTCATTGTTATGGTGATGCTGAATGTAGGTTACTAGAAAATATTATCCCATACACTTCATTTACTATTACAACCCCTAATTTATGCTTTCTTGGCTTTGTTCTATAAAGACAATATCTCATGGGAAAGAGCTGAAAGGAATCTCAAACAAATACCACTACATATTTATTCTTTGTGAATGACCTTAGTAACTGTTCACTTAATACATGTTTGATACTATAATTTCTTTTCTAATTGTCCTCAAATTTTTGCATGTAATTATATTGATTTTTTAAAAAATTGAAATAGATATTGATTGATTTTGAAAAGTATGCTATTAATTAATACACAAATTATTTCATTTTTCATAAAAGATTCTAAATTTCCTTTAAAAAAAGTGCAAATATGTTTGTCGTTAATTTATCATAATATCTCAATACATATATACTTACCTTTTGTCGTTACTTACGTTATTAATTATAAATATACTAACATACACGTGCACGTGCACATGTGTACACATTTATTCTAGAGGTATGCAACTTTTGATTCATCTTTCATATTTACCATTCATCAAATAATAATGATTATCATAAAAAAATTGATCATGAGATCAGTAAATTATAAAAGTTGTACTTCCTATACTATGTTTCTATTCTTTGTCTAAATATTCAAGATATATAGCCTATTAATTAGTCATAAGACTTGAAGTAGTAGCTTGATAAGACTTATCCCCTATTTATAGTTTTATTATGAGCTAAGGACAAATAAGTAGTTTCAATCAGTGAAAACTGCTATGTGGCACTTGCAAGTCATAGGGTAACAACATGAACAACAAGCTCGAGCTGGATAAGAAAATGATGAGTAAGCCACAAGGCAACAACATGAACAACTAGCTCGTGCTAAAACAAGAAAATGATGAGTAAGCCATAAGGGAACAACATGAGTAACTAGCTTAAGCAAGACAAGAAAATGATAAGCAAGCCACAAGGCAACAACATGAGCATACATCTATGACACTACATCAACATGGAGATCAGTATTAGGTGAGCATGCTATCGATGTGATAACTTTAGTTTTGGCTTTTTTGTTGGAGCTTTCTGAATGAATATTGCACCATGTGTTTATAGATGTATATGTAAGCTTTAAAGAGCTCCAAAAGGCAAATATTGAAGAACAAACATGGGAGAAAAGGGAAGCAAGCAACTTCACGTTTTAAGTTTGATTATGTAAACTTAAATGATAAGCAAGCCACAAGGTAACAAAATGAGCATACATCTATGGCAGTACATTAAACGGAGAGCAATCTAAGGAGATCATGCTATCGATTTGATAACTTTAACTTTGGCTTCTTTGCTGTAGCTTTCTAAATGAGTACTGCATCATATGTTTATATATATGTATATGTAGACTTAAAGTGCTTCAAAGGGCAAATATCGAAGAACAACCGTGGGAGAAAAAGGAAGCAAAGAGCTTCAGGTTCTAAGTTTAACCAAGCAAACCCTCTAAAGAAAATAACATTGATTTTTAATATTGATGCTAAGAATAATCGATGTCAACATCGAAAGCAATCTGAAGTGAGCATGCTATCGATGTAATAACTTAGCTTTGGCTTTTTTGTTGCACCTTTCTAAATGAGTGTTGTATCACGTGTTTATATATATATATATGCTTCAAAAAGCTTCAAAGGACAAATATTGAAGAACAAACATGGGAGAAAAAGGAAGCAAGCAGCTTTAGGTTACGAGTTTGACCAAGCAATCCCTATGGAGAAAATAACATTAGCGTTTAATACTAATGCTGAGAATGATCGATGTCAACATGGGAAGCAATCTGAGGTGAACATGATATCGATGTAATAACTTAGCTTTGGCTTTTTTATTGTAGCTTTCTGAATGACTATTGCATCATGTGTTTATATCTATGTGTGTTTGTGTAGGCTTCAAAGAACTCCAAAAGGCAAATATTCAAGAACATACATGGGAGAAAGAGGAAGCAAGTAGCTTTGGGTTCTAAGTTTGACCAAGCAAACTTTCCAAAGAAAATAACATTGGCTCTTAGTACTGATACTGAGAATGATCGATGCCAACATGCAAAGCGGTCTGAGGTGAGCATCCTATCAATGTAATAACTTGCTTTGGTTTTTCCGCTGCAACTTTCTAAACAAGTGCTATATCATGTATTTATATATATATAGACTTCAAAGAGCTCCAAAGGGCAAATATCAAAGAACAAATGTGAGAGGGAAAGGACGCAACCAGCTTCAAGAATTGAGTTTGATTATGCAGACCCTGCAGAGAAAGTAACATGAACTCTTAGTAGTGATGCCGAGAATGATCACTGGAACCCCTATATTGGTGAAACAGTGGCTCCCAAAGTGATCAGATTTATGAGCTGAGACTTTTGTCTCCCTGATCAAGAAGAAGAAAGCACCAAAATCTTAACTGTTTTACAAGGTAATGTTCCCCTTTTCAGCATTACAAGATTGAAGTGATGTAAAAATTGCCCTATAATTTCAATGAGCCACTCGTCTACACCTTTTCTAAAATTTTGACGTCGTAAGTTTCCTGTAAATCACAATCATGACAACCTTGCTCTCATACAAACTCGTTTTATTCTTTTTTTTTAACTCTTCTTTTACCAAGGGAAGATTTACAATGGTAAAATCTTGCAAAGCAGAGGAAAAATATCACCAGAACATTGGACATTAAAAGATTTGGGTGCAAAACAGAAGCGTGTATATGTATACATGGAGAAATAAATTGCCATTATAACATCATCCACAAAGTTTCTCAAAAGAAATCATATTAGCTAAAAACCTTCAATTTCTTAAAGGCAAAAAGGTAGTTACTGCCATTTCACTAACAATATAATAGAGAATACAAAAATTTCAAGATTACACATCAGCAGGTGCAGGAGCGAGAATGAGCAAGATAGAATATAGCATGCTAACATTTTCCTCTCTCAATTCACAAACCCCACCAATGGCAGGTATTACAGGCATCTGCCTCCATGTATGTGAAATCAGACTCCTTGTCCTCCGGAAACCAATGCCACATCTGAACAAACGATTCTATCCTCTCATTCTGAAAAGGATTCAAACAGTTTCGTGCAATGGTTGGGATATAAATTTAATATATTTTTAAGAAGTAAATGCAAGATAGAGCAAGTTCAGCTAATGCTACCTTCCATTCAGAGTGCCAAAGGGATAAGTAGATAGAAAATATAAATAGACATCTATAGTAGAACTTGAGAAGAGAATGGACACATGATCAAAAAGGATGTGCAGCAATGCAGTCTTTTCAAAGCAGAATGTTGACCGCATATAACTGATCTTCCTCACCGGCCATTAGGCTCAGTGAGCCTGGGTCTGCACCCCATTTGTTCAAGAAACTTAGAAAGACGCAAGTGCTTTGCAGCCCATTGCTCAGCTAATTTTTGCTCCTTTGCTTCGGCATCTCTCCTTAGCCCTTCTAGCTGTTCCCTGTATTCAGCTTCAATTCTATCAAGGGTAGCCTTCTGCTCTTCCCTTAAAGCCTTCACCTTCGACTCTATTTCTTCCATTTTCTCCCTTCTACGGCATGCCTTCTCCGATTCCAGTTGCAACTCTACCCTTCTTAACCTCCAGGCTGCTTCCTTTTTGTGTGCAACCCAAGCACGTTGCCCTTCTTCCAGCTCCCTGCAGCACTCCACCAGTTCAGATACCAGTGGGTTCTCACCACAAGGAGGAATTGATCCATGGGGCACCATATTTCCCAAAACAACAGGGGTATTTTCTGACATCCTCTCAGGCTGCAGCCATGGGATTGGTGGAGCAGCTGTCACTGTTGAGGGAGATAGGGTTAGAGTCACCGAAGGGGATGGTGGCCTGACAGCAGGGGCAGTGCTGGAATTAGAAAGCCAAGGTGGAAGAAGAGTTGGAGCAGGGGAAGGTGGGTCAGTATGAAGAAAGCCCCCATTAGAAGTAGCCATGGAAAAAGCTGAGCTATGCCGCTCTTTCACTAGTTTCTCTGCAAAAGTTTCTAAAATCCTATCGTACTTGCCCTCCTCAATTGGATCAACTGTCTTATTCTTCTCCTTCTGTTCCCTTTGTTGCTTCTCTTTGAACACTTCCCACCACTTGCCCAGCCTTTTAGCAGTTCTGCCAGGGACTTCGGCTGCAATTTTCTTCCACTTATTGCCGTGTTTGGCTTGAAGACGGATTACAAGACGCTGCTCATCTTCAGTGAGAGATCCCTTCTTGATACCAGGCTTGAGGTAGTTATTCCACCTTTCTAAGCAAGATTTTGCATCCCTGTTTAGCGGTGTGTTCATGCGCTGTGAAACAAGGTTCCACTCCCTTGGTCCATATTGTTTCACGTATGCACGTAACAAAGCGTCCTCTTCAGCTCTCCAGCGCTGCCTCTCCTTCATTTCCAGGTGCAAACACCACTTCCCATTGCCCTAAGCTCCTCATAATGTATCTGCAAGAAGATCAGTAAGTTCAACCATCACTCCGCTAATACGCAAGTGATAACAACTGGATCCAACAGTAACAAAGTCAAAAATGAGGAAGATGAGTAATTAAGAATGAACTTATAACAATCCCATTGCCCACAGCACTTTCCAGTCCTTTACTAAAACAAGCATCATAAAACCAAAGTATAAAACATGGAAATTTGACAGAAAAAATACCATGTGACTTACCCTGGCTATCTATTTAACCCCAATCTTGATGCAAAATTACACCAACCACCTGGCACATAAGTCACCATTGCATGGGCCATAAACTTCTCCAGCAAACTCCACTGAGATCAGGAGCTACTCAAGAATAAATTTTAAGACAATTAACTGTGGGATATCAAGAACTCCAAATACCTTATAAAATTTCTTGACTCAGGTAGCTACTAATAGTTTACAACCACAAAAATGGCAACTTTTGCTCACAATACCACAAGCCAGGTACCAATGAAGTCAGACAGAAAATATGTATGAGGAAACTGATTGAATATAATGTCAGAATTTCCATATTGTACAAAATAATAATAAAGGCTAGTCTAAAATAACACTTGAGATTCTCTAGTTTCAACTAAGAATTGACAAAATTGCTGGTACAACAATAAAGAGATTTCTAATTAATCATCAAAGTGAGAATGCACATTCAAGCTGTTAAATGAATGTGTCGATAAATGATGATAACTGCTGGTACAACTTGGCATTGATTATAAAGTTAGTACAAAACTTGAGCAGCATAATACTACCAAACAATGCACAGAAATGACAAGAGAAACAGTTCAAATTTGGGAAACAAAAAAGAATTATTAAAATATTAAAATAGGATCAAATATCTCCAGAGGAATGCTTTTAAGCAATGACTGAATACACAAATTTCAGTTCTGTCGTAGCAAAATCAATTATACAGCCAGTGATGACAATCAGTAGCGGAGTCAGCAAAGCTATGTGTAAAAAGATGACATGTGGTACAATAATTGATGAAACTCAAATCCAAGACTCTCCATTTGATGCCAAATTGGTGTATATAAATCTCCCTAGCGGCCCCTGACACCAGATTACAACCAGATTGTACGACCACAGCTAACAGCTGGTATCTATCGCAACACGGGGAGACTTTCATGTTACACATCAATGACTATTTTTATCCTCGTTTAAGCTATGAACTAAAACTAATCCACTAAAACATCCCATAAAAAATGTCTAAAAGAAGTATATAAACAAACCCGATGACAGTTTATTCGAGATGGGAAGCAACAAATCAATCAAACAAGGATGTTATGACAAGAATAATCCCACAAATTTCAAGATATTTACTCAAATCATCTTCCATAATTGTGAAATAAAATCTTAACAAAATCACAGTTGCAGGATAAAACGTATAACCTATTGATCAACAGATTTGGGTGAAGATGAACATTCCCCCGGATAAGGCCCGGGATATAATGGAATTTTGGCAAGAAAGGTGTTCACGGGTAACCCTTCATTGATAATTACTCTTTTGAGAAGCCCAAATTTAAAAACAAATGAAGAAAAAGAACGCACTTTCTAGTCCGAGAGGAGACTTTTTTTTTTTTTTGATGAATAAAAGGAGACACTTTAAGTAAAAAGTAACACGTTTTGACCATAATTTGTCCACAAAGAATTTGTTTATATAATGCTTAAGCAGTCAAGGGATTGGTCACAGAGTGGGGGCTTCCCTCAAAATCTTCAACTAGAAACCGCACATCTCTTCACCGTTTGGCAGCCGAGAAAACTAAGACAACAAAATCTTGATTCGGACTCTAACCTCCCACAACCATTTTTTCTTACATTTGCAGCAAAACCAAACAGAGCCTTCATTGCTTAAAGAATAAAAAAAAAAAAAAAACAGATTCTTTCAAGCCCAAAGAGGAGTCCAAAGCAAGCTTTTTTAACTTCACTAAACACGACACAAAGAAGCTTAAAAACAAAGGGTATGAAACAAATTCAACCTTAATTTGAAAAAGAGAAACAAAAAAAAAAGCAGCTTACCATATTTCTTTAATCAAGTGTTCAAATTTAAACTCTGCCTTCATTGCATCTTCTAGCTTTAATCTCTCCCCGGACAACACAAATGGAAAAGAAAACAAAACCAAAATCGAAAGTCGAAACTCCCCAAACAAAAAAGCGCACACACACACACACACACACACAGAGACACAGAGACACACACCTCCTAGAGAGAGAAAAATCTTAGCCCAGAGAGAGAGAGACGAAGAACTAAGAATAACAAGAAAAAGTAGACAGATAGCGAGAGAGGGGTTGAAAATGGAAAAAGTTAACACTGGTGAGAAACAGTAAAATTAGAGAGAGAAAGAGATCTGACATGGGGGCTTGAAGGAGAGGCACGCGAGCGAGACTGAGAAGAGAAAGGAAAACCAAACCAAACCAAAAAAAAAAAAAAAAGAAGAAAACTGCAGGGAAAGGTCGGTATTTTCAAAAGAGAGAGGGGCCGCTGCTGACGTGTTTTGTGGAATGTACTTACGTCAGCATCAGTACCTCCCCTTCCCGCTTTCCCTCCCTACTCTTCTCCCTCTCCGCATCCTTTCCCTCCCTGCTCCCTACCCTACGTTTCGTATAGACAGACAGCGAAACCCTTTTTTTCTTTTTAAGCTCAGTAAGCTTTGATTAAAACTACCGAGAGAAAGAAAATGGCGTACGCGCTCGCTTTCAGCGCTTAAAATGCGCCGGCCTGCCTCCATTCTTCCTCGGCTTTCAGTTTGGATTTCCGTTAATTTCATTTTTTTTATAAAAATAATTCTAGTTGTAACGAATTCGAGCGGTCATGGAAGGCGAAATAACAGCTAAATCAGAGCCGTTAATTGGTTTGGCAAGAAACTCCAATTAACGCCACCTGGGATAGGCACCTTATATATTGGGAGCCGGGTTAGGTATATTTGTCAACCCGAGAAATGTTAGATCCATGGTCCCCTAAGGTCCTACCCAAAATCGAAATCACTTTCCACTAATTCTCATGCCTTCCATATACTTGTTGGATAATAATAGTCACTAAATTAATTAATTTAACGAGTCTAAACGATGGTCAACAAGTGCGCTGTCACACCATGAAATACAAAATTCCGGCGTACGTTAGCAAAATACTGCCACGAATTTCCCCTCTTTTTTTAAAATAAAAATTTTGGTTTTTCCATTTCCATGCAACATATGCAGACGTGACCTCGACCAAGAAATTGCTACGGTGTGGGCGTTAACATGATGAAAATCGTCGAACCTTTCAATCAAAGCCTTGATTATTCAAAGAATCGATGTGATTAGTGGAGCCAGGGGGGAGTAGGAGATAGAAACGATATTTCCAGGAGGTGGGATTATCGAGGGAGGGAGGGGGATGCCACGTAGGATAGTGGGACCAAGACTGAGGAAGGTGGGAAGGGGGGACTGTAGTCCGCGTTTCGCGGCACAAGGAGACGAGTCTGATGTAGACTCGACCTTCTGCTGCGCTCAGAAGCGCCTCTCAGATGTCAGTGATAAGTTACGCTCGTTTCTCTTTTTTTTTTTTTCCCCTTTCTTTTTCGTTTTCTTTTTTCTTCTCCACTTTTTTGTATTTATTTATTTTAATTAATTCTAAAATTAAAAGTATTATATTGAAAAAATGACAGCTTTTCTTGCTTGGTTTTTACTTTAAAATACTGGTGGTACTACTACTGTTGTCTTTCAATGTTTGTGTGTATTATATTTTCATGAACTTTGTTCTTTAGGCTTTAGGTCATTCAGGTAGATGAGGATATTAATTTCTTTCTTGTCATAGTTCAAATTAAAAAAATAAAAAAAATTAGCTATTTATATTATAAAATTTTTGTTTTGGTGAATAATACTTTGATTATATTTTAAAAATTTTATTAAAGACAGTCTTAAGAAAATTGTTATGATTACTACTGAAAATAAATATATTTATTTAATGCATCACAAATTATTAATTTACTTGTGTGAGATCCCCAAGTATAAAAATTTTGTGAAAATCTATTGTAATATTTATGTAAAACCTTAAATTATAAATAAATTTGAAATATATACAAAGTCATATCAAAAAAGACCTCTCTAAAGTTTTCATAATTGATTATAATATATCAATTATTAAACTTAAAGTTTATATTTAATACATTATTAATAAATAAATTTGAAAGTTAAGAACTTTAAAAAATAAATATTCATAATTTTAAAATTATTTATATTTTTACATATTATAAGGTAATACTTTATGATTAAATAATAGTGTATATTGTATAAAATATAAACCTTAAATTTAATGTGAAAATATTTTAAAAATAAGGCCATACTTTTATTATAAAAAATTATTATTTTTTAATTTTGTTCCTCTTTCTCGAAAATTATGAATGCTAAAATAAATGAATTTGAAAAAATATGCTATTTAAAAAAAAGGAAATAAATAAATAAAAATAAAAAAGCAACGAAAGATAAAAGTCCAAATTATTTCCTCTTTTTACCCTGGTCTGAATTTAATTGAACAGGTTATTCCATCAGGATCCAAGGCATCGTTCCAAAGGAAATTGTTGGGCTAAAACTGGAAACAAAAGCAGAAGGGGGTATCTTTGGAATCATGAAGCTGATTTGACATGTCAAACCTATTGTAAAATTGAGGGAGATCCTCCCCTAATCTTCTTCACCATGAACCCCACAGCCCCCTCCTCCTCCCGAAGAAAGCCAACAGCTTTTCGTGGTAGGGAATGAAGGGGAATTATAGGCTTTACTTGTCAACTTTCCCCAGCCCTTACTCTGCCTTCACTTCTCACCGTCCGATCCGAACAAACCCATGATCAGAACCCAACTTTTAACGGCCCTGATTGAGCATTACAGTGCTCAAAACATGCAGATATCTGCACATGTGATGAAGTACAGTAATAAAGTGCTATTATCTTTTTCTTTTAAAATTGAATACTAAAAAAAAAAAAACAGTACAAAGAAAGGCTGCAGAATTTGTATGGGGATCGGTGAGAGTGGAGGTGTGTGGGAGAGGGTTGTGACCTCCCTGGGTGGTGTGCTCAGTGGTCTGACCTGACCTCTCTGAGCCATCTTAACCCAACGTGGTTCGGTGAAAGGGAAACATCCCCAAACCTCTTTTAATATAATGGTCTGGTCTCCACTTTGCGCCACCACTTCCCCCCTCGCTAAGGACTTGACAAAGCCACCCACGCTCACACGCCTCCCTTTATTGCTACATCCCCAGGGGAAAATACAGAAATGGTTTTTTGACCTTTTCCTTTTCTCTTTTGCCTTTTCATAATTAATGTACTTCACTCAATGAAATTTAGCAAATCGACATTAAGATATAAGGACTATATTAGATACATTGACAATCAACGATATTATCACTTCATTAAAGATAAAAATTTTGAATTTAAAAAAAATATTCATATATCAATTAATAAATCATATAAATCAAATGTTCAAAACAAAATCAATAACAACTGTCAAATACAAGTGGCGAAATAGAAATAGAAATATGGGCTTCCTACTGTGACCATAAAGAGAATAATGTTTGTAGAGCTAGCTAAGATAATGTTGGATCTGACCTTTGGTAGGGCGTAGCCGGCCTAAAATGATTTGGTCCCAGTTTTGTGACTTGAGAGATTGACAAAGAACAAAGTATTGGGCCCAAGAGTGGTGCGTCAAGGCAACAAAGTTTTCTTTGCTTCTATTCTTGGACTTCAACATCAGCTTTGTTTAGGAATGGTAAAAGTATCCGTATCACCGGGTTCCGTCCCATCTTGATCCCATAAAATAAGGTTTTGTTTTTACAAATAATCAGGATTGAGACGGACGAGTTTTCTGATTAAGAGTATGTCTTGTTTCAAAGTAAAATATTTTTTAAAAAATATTTTTAAGATTTATGTTTATTTAAAAGATAAAAAAATTATTTTAAATGTAAAATTTTTAATTTATTTAATTTTAAAAATTATTATTAAAAAAAATTAAACTAAACGGACTTTAAATAAGATTTTCAGAAATTCTTTAAAAAATATTTTTTAAAAAAAACAAAATCTAAAAAATAAAAGCTTCATAAAAAAGTTAAAAAACAACTTTTTTTTCTTTTTTTCTATTTCAAAAATATCTTCATTTATTAAAAATAATCTTAACATTATCTTCTTAAAAGATATCTACTTCTTAATTGATCTTCCTCTTTCTACAAATCACTTCCTCTTGACACAAATTGCTATCTCCCTCTCTTTTACCCTTTTCTAAAAAAATACTAAATAAAAAAATTAAATTAATTTTTTTCATTATAAATAAAGAAATTCGTGATTAATAAAAAATTATTTATTAAATATCATTTGACATAATTTTAATTCAAATTAGAGTTTATATAAGTTGTTTTACCAAACAACTTATTTATCCAAAAAAACTTATAAAAATAAATTTATTAAATAATTTTAACTTGATTTTAAAAGTTTTTATTTTTTATAATAATTTTTAAACTAAAAAAAAAATCATGCCAAACAAGTCATAAATATGATTAGATTAGACTGGTGTAGTTATTATTTATTGTGATAATTTAAATGATTAACTTAATAATATAATCTATTTATATATGATTAAGATGTAGTTTATATTAAAAAAAAATTACTGAAATTAAACTAAATTTCAAGTCGAGTCAAGTTGGATGTGAGGTTATATATATTTCAAACTCGGATCAGATATCCAAAAACATATGATGGATTCGAATATAACTATTAAAGGATAAGTCGAATTTGAATAAGAGTAAAATCTAAAAAGCTTCCTCAAAATATTTTAAAAATATATTTTAATTTCTTTTATTTTAAAATAATGTTATTATTCTTTTAACGGTTAATTTTGTTAGTTAACCATTAAAAAATTAAACTTAATACTACATATATATTTAAAAATATAAATATTTTTTATATATTTTTTTAATTTAAATGGATTATCTTTTTAAAACTCTATTCATTGTTCCCTCCAAAACCTTAATAAATAAAAAGCAAACCTAAAAA